TAGGGTTAGGTTCCCCCGCCGGCGCCTGTCCACCGCCCACCACCCACACGCGTCATGTGTGCACGCCCACACCCACACCCTCATGCACATCCATCCCCCCACTTCACACCCACATACACACGCCCTCACACTCCGCGACCCACCATCCCCCCCTCACCTCCGCCAGGCAGTACTTGAAGCGGCCGGTGACGGGCTCAGCCTGCAGGACGGCCTGCAGCGGGTCGTACCGACTAGGCTGGGGGGAGGCCTCCAGCGCAGCCTTCAGGACACGGCCAGTAAAGCGGGGGGGGGAAGGGGAGGCGGGTAGTTAACCGTAGAAGTAAGTAAGGAACGATATGACGATTGTTATTGATTCTCACTTAATTAGTTACCCTACTCCCAAGAATCTTAATTACTCGTGGAATTGGGGCTCTTGACAGTAGTGACGATAGTGGTGGTGGAACCCCTGCCAGCGCGGGTGTGCGCGGGGGATCCCTAGAGCTCCGCCCGCGCGGCTCAGTACGCTGGCCCCTTCGTCACCTCCCTTTATCCCTCTGTCTGTACGTCGGTTCATGTCCACTTTGCCCGTCAGCCTGATCCTTCCTGCCTTGCCTCCGCCTCCGTCTCCCTCCCTCACCTTGAGCAGCGAGCCCACCATGTCGTACTTGGACAGCGGCCCGGCCGACGTTGGCTCCCGCATGTTGAGCAGGCTCCATACCGGGTCGTACCGGGGGTCACTGGCGGCCAGGATGACATCGGGGTCGCCTGCGAGGAACGGGTGGGGGTGGGGGAGGGGTGTGTGGAGGCAATGCATGGAGGCAGAGAGGCCCCAGTGCCATGCCGTACCTGATGTACGGACGCTCTGCAGGAGGTCGTACACAAGATCGTACTTGTGCGCGCCGGCGGAAGTAGTGGCGGCGTCTGATATCTCCTGACCCGCCCGCAACAGGCTGCGAATCATGTCGTACTTGTGCGCAGCCGACGGAGCGGTGGCATCCGCCAGAGCATTACGGAGCGGATCGTACCTGTCGTACCATACAGAGATGTTTCTCAAATGCGCTGAAGAAACATACATTGAAAAAACACCTTGGACCCCGCAGGGGAGATTACAACCTAAGAGATGAAACAAACACTTGAAGTGGCGTTATTGGTGTACCACCATCACCTTTTCCGGCCATAATCGCGGCTAAGATCATCAAAAAACGCAGGGCATACTGATAGAAAAAGAGTTGAGAATGCCTCGCCCTTCGACTGTTGGGGTTTATTCTTCGGACTCTTAAAGAAGAAGACCCAAATCTATATACCGCCATCCATACTTAAGGGCCCCCTTTTATCCTGTCCTAACGCCCCGGCCCCCAGCCCCCTAGCAGCAGTCACCTGGGATACGTGTACTCCTCAGTCCGCATGGCCACCTCCAGCAGCTCCGAAACCTGCTCCACCGGCGTGAAGTCACCCGGGGCCGCACCCTCCGTAAGCGCCTCCGACCAGGCCGCGGAGGAAGCCGCGGCGGCGGCGCCGATGCCGACCTCCTCACCCGTCACTTCCGCCTGCTCCTCCGCCTCCGCCACAAGCGTCTCCACCAGCGACAACTCCAGCTGCTGCAGCTGGTCCTGCGGCTGTAGCTGGTCCTGCGGCTGTAGCTGAAGTTCCTGTTCCAGCTGCAGCTGGTCCTGCGGCTGTAGCTGAAGTTCCTGTTCCAGCTGCAGCTGGTCCTGCGGCTGTAGCTGAAGTTCCTGTTCCAGCTGCTGCTGCAGCTGCTCCTGTGGCTGCTGTAGCTGATCCTGCGGCTGTAGCTGAAGCTCCAGCTGCTGCTCCTGTAGTAGCTGCAATTGTTCCTGCGGCTGTAGCAACTGGTTCACAGGCTCCGCAGCATCAACCGCCAGAGAGGAGTCAAAGCTGGGGTTCGTACCGCCTGTACGGCTCAGGTCATTGGCGGCGTCACGTTGGGTAAACCACGACAGGGGGTTGTACCACACGGAGTCCTCCGCTGCCGCCGCCGGTGATGCAGCGGCGGCGGTGGTGGGAAGGGGCGCAGCTGGCGGCGGCCCCGCCGCTGTGGGTGCAGCAGACACTGCAGAGGCGGAGGCGAAGCTGGGATTAAGGCGGCCGTCAGCGGTACGGCCGTCGGCCTCGCGCAGGTACTCCTCGGGCGACGGCGCGTCCTCAGGTACGTCAAACGACGGGTTGATGCGCGGTGGCGGCGGCGCCGGCAGTGGCGGCGGAGCAATGGCACGATACATGCGTGGCGCACGCGGCGCGGCGCGGCGCCGCGTCGGACGCAGACTTGGCCGGAACTCGTCGGCTAGGGGGTTGTCGTACATTCGGCCTGGCGGCGGTGCAGCCGCTGCCAGCGGTAGCGGCGGCGGCGGCACAGGCTCCGTCGCCTTCGACGCTTTGTCCAACGCGTCACTTGCCCAAGGATCAAGATTTGAGCTGGGCGTCACCCTGCTGCTGTCAGGCTGGGGCGGCGGCGGAGGTACCTGCGACGGCGGCGCCGACGCAGCCGGCGGCAGACCGCTACGTGCTGACGCGCCGCCAGCGCGCTCCGGCATCGGCACGCGTGTATCAGAGATGTACGAACCGCCTGGCGGAGCTGCCAGACGCGACGCGCCGCCGCTGGGACGCACAGGCACGCCAACCTGCACCTCAGCCGCTACTGCAGCGGCGGCGGCCGCCGTCACATCCGCCGCAGCGGCCGCCGCCGCCGCGACAACGTCGGCGACAGGCATACCGCGCGATGCGCCGCCGGAAGGACGCGACGGTGGCATCCTTGCCGTACTGGCATTGGCCGCGATGAAAGCCTCCGCCTCCTCCACGTCCATGTCCAATGTCTCCGCCGCCTTGAAGGTGGCCTCCACAAAACCCAAAGATGCGTCCGCTTCCATGAGCTCCCTGGCACGAGCCATCAACAGCTCGTTTCGGAGCTGCGTCATCGAGGATGGCCACACGGGCAGGAGTGCAATTCCGGTCAGCGGTATCATCAGCAGAAAGGCCAGGAAAAGCCGGGAACTGTACAGGAGGTGCAGCACAACGTCGCCTACGTTCCGACCCCTAGCACCCCTCTCTTTTACTCCCCTCGGAGGGACGACATCTGACGGACCGACCTCCCCACCCTCCGACTCCTCTACCCCGCTACGTTGCAGAACTACAGCCCCACCTCCAGCTCCGTAAGCCGCCGGCTGAGCTGGGAAAGGTAAAGCTCCTCCTCAGATGCAGCCGCGTCCAGCGGCGGCGCCGAAATCGCCATGCTCCGGGCCGCAACCAGCGCCTTGTACGAGGAGGCCCGGCCTGCCGATGCCGCCGCCGACATGCCACCAGCGCCGCCGCTGCGCACAAAGCCGTACCCCACCATGGCCGCCGCCAGGGCAGCGGCGGCCCGGGCCTGCATGTACGAAGTTAACAAGCCATAGCCGCACGATCAAAGATTGCCTTTCTTTACCATGCCGTACTTTTTTGATGGCAAGAGAGGGACTGAATGGACCTCTTTTGATAGCTTCTAGAGCTCAGGGCTCCCGCTAAGACCCCCCTGGAGATGGGGATTGTGTAGGGTTTCGCGCAGCGGGACAGAGATCGCAGATTCCGCAGCTGGGGACGAGTCGTGAGCGTGGCTTACCTGCGGTAAGGTCCTCAGGTCTGCGACCCCAGTTTCAAAGAGGGGATTCATCCTGACAGATGCGACTGGGAAGGGCACCTGTACAGGGAAACGCCGGGAGGGAGCTTCGTCTCTTAGCCTGAAAGGCTAAAAGGCTAAGGCTGTCAGCTTCTAAAGCCGCACATAATGGCACACGTGACGACGAATAGTTTGCAGGAAGCAGGTATAACATTTAGCTTGCTTTCTTGGCAGGGCAGCGTAACTGGTTGGTTGGAAGGAAAGAAACATGCGACTGTCGGGGTAGCAAACAGATAAGAGGCAAAGACGAGATCGGCACCTAGCGAAACAGAGCTTCAGCACAAGATATAATTTCATCAGTGTCACTGGAATATGCGCGGCGCACAAGTTCTTGCTCATGACGCTGTCGGGCAACAGCCGGACGCGAACAACAGGAAAACGGGTCAGCTAGCGCAGACGCACCGTGCCATGAGACGAAGCAACTGGTTGTGCAACAGCATTCCTGCTGCCCCCAAACACCAGAAACGGGACAAGGACGAAGGCCTGCGACCGAGAACATGGTTGTTAAAAGCCAACTGAAAAACCTCCGACCACGCGAAGGGGCAAGCATGCGTTACGCACCCCGGCCAAGCGCTGACACCATTTGGGCAGAGGAGCCAAAAGCGAGACCTGCAAGTGCACAACCAAATTGACGCGACGTTTCGCGTTGGAGGGTCAGAGACGAACGCGATCTCCAAATGGCGATTCTTTTCGGTGTGACAGCAATATACCTTTGGCTGAGAAGCATTCTGACAGCTTGCAAGTACACACAGGCCAACCCTACGTCCAGGCTGTGCCGACAGCAAAAGACCAGGACACAGCGGGTGGCGCTGAGCCGAGGCCAGTAATCGTGCGCGACATGCCACAGATTTCACAGGAAGCCGCACGGAGCCCAGCGGACACCTGGGAGAACCCTGGCAGGTCGGAAGCGGCAAGCGCGACATTGACAACCCTTGCCCCCGCCGAAGTCAATCGATCTGCCTTTCACTTAGTTCAATATCCCCTATCTGTGACCGAATGTATGCAATGAGGCCCTCCACGAGGGGAACAGGGCCTTCAGCCGAAAGAATGAGGTCTGCTTTGACGCCGTGCACGGTCAATTAATAGCTAATCTTATATGCACCAAGTCTACAAAGGTTGCGTACAGTTTGTTAACGAATAGGTCCCCTATCCTCAAAAAGCGTCGATTGCACGGTGCATGCGTCCGCAATCGTATGTTAGCTTCCTCATACTATCTGCCTGCAGCATGCCAGTCTGGTTTATGGCAAGCTATTCATACGTCTCCTTTCGTACGTCCAAGTCGTAGTCTCCGGGTTGTCCCACCGACCCACGGTTTGTGCAAGTTGATAACAGTTCGGCTCAGGACGCTCCCATGCTTCGAAAAGTGAAGCTTGCACATCAACTGCATCAGGTGCCATCACTTTATAGAGTGTCGGAAGGTTTGTTGACTTCTCACTCATCACATTTTTTTCCGATGACGCCCACAGGCTTGCCAGGCCGCTGCATTGGATGCATATCGCGAGGGCAGCTCTGGTCTAGCAAGCTGGCTTCCAGCTCGCTGCAACGGCAATGTCGGGGCTCGCTGCGCTTCGACATCTGCGGGGCCGTCCGGCTCGCATCAGGCCCCGGCCGCGGCCGCAGCATCGACCGCTAGCACCAGCGGCAGCGAAGGAGAGACACCCCTCTCGGTATTTTCGCGGCAGAGCCAGAATCTGGCGGCCATGCCCCTATACCCCAAGCTATTGGGCTTTGCAGGTATAGGAAGCCATCCTAGCTCATGCAATACAGCCCATAACGGGCAGCTCTGGGCCGTCAGGGTTACTGAGACACCAGTGACAGCAAGGACCGGCGGACAGGGGAAGCGCAGCGCTACCAGACAAGGGCGTAGGGACGGCTGTGAAGCCTGATAAAATTAAACCCCAGTGCCCGGTTGCCAGCAGCAGCAGCAAGGGCTTTGGGATACTGAACAATCCTCGCGTCCCACATTCCACGGGCTGCTGCTGCTGCTGCTGCTACTGCTGTTGCTGCCGCCACGGGGGTCATGCTACAGCCTGGTTGCCACCAGGGCGCTTTAAGGCGACACATAAGGGAGCGTTATCCGCTTTCGTGCGGGTGCGGTAGTGCGGTAGTGTGAAGCCCCTGCCTTGGTCGCGGAGCATTTGTTTGGTATTTGGTGCCAACGCCCACTCCTTTTATTTCTAATACACACATTTTCCTCATCTTATTTTAACCCCATGCCCTAGCCCTCTTCCTTAGGATGTATCCAACGCACGCCCACCCGAACCTGAGTACGAACCTACCCGCATGCTGTGTGTGTACTGCCAACTGTCAACGTACAACCCCATGCTTACCGTACATGCTAACCGCTTTCCTCCAGGTGCCATCCCTTTCACGACGTTGACGCCAGCATTCGTCCAGACAGCGGGGCTACCGGACCTCGTGGATTACTGTGCGCAGATGCAGCTGGTGTACGGCGGAAGCATCGTGTCATTCCTGGGTGCTGTACACTGGGGCCTGGCGATGAGCAGCTCAACGATGGCTGGTAGGCACCTGGTGTGGTTCCCGTACGTACGTACGTACGTACGTACGGGCATCTGACACCACCACCTCTTCATCCCGGCTGCTGCGTGCTCTCTGCTTCCTAGCATTGGCTTTTCCTCTAGGACTTTGCCTCTGATCCGCCCCCTACTTCTTCACCTTTTGGATCGTCTGCCAGTTCCCTGATATCTTTTGATGCTGCATGCTGTTTCCTCCTCTGATTTTCCTCCCCTGCAGTATGCACCCCGCTCTCTACCCACAATCCGCTCACGCTCACAGTCTCTCTCCTTTCTTTGGTGTATCCTGTTCTCTTCACTTCTGCCATGATTGTGACTTTCTCCCTTCATCCGGAAATCTCTCTCATCTCTTTGACCTCTGACAATTTCCGGTTGCTGCCCGCTCAGCTGGGGGATCCCGTGCGGCGGGCGCGCTGAACGAGCGTTACGTGTGGAGTGTGGTGCCCTCTCTGGGGGTGGTTCCGGCGCTCATGATGCCACCAGCACAGGGCAGCCTGGCCATTGCGGTACTACTGGTAAGGGCATTGGGGCATTAGGGCAAGGGTTAGGCCAAGGGTAAGGCCAAGGGAGTATCGGGTGGAGGGAAGTCATTGGCCCGACTGCCCTACCGCAGCTTTTGTTTCTGCCACTGCCTCTCAACCCGTCCCGCGGGATGACGTGCCCTCCATCGGCGTCTGCATCCCGTATGCCGTAATGCCGTACGCACCGTACGCCAGGGCATATGCTACATCTCAGACGCGGCGTACTACCGCTCTGGCTACTTGCCGAGCTGGTACATGAGCCTGCGCGGCTACCTGACACTGCTGGCGCTGTGCAGCATGCTGGCCACCACCGGCCACTACCTGAAGCGGGACGTGGAGCGGGCGAAGAAGCTGATGGAGGAGGAGGACGCCAAGAGGGCGGCGAGGCTGGAGGCGCGCGCCGCAGAGGCATCAGCCGCTGCTGCTGCCGCTGTCGCCTCCTCAGCAGCGGCCCCACCAGCGGCAGTGGCGCAGGGACGCGGGCGCAAGTAAACACGCAGGCGGTGTGTGTCTTTGTGTGATGGACTTGGGGTTTGAGAGGTAAGGGAGATGGGGGAAGGAGCACGCGTATGGTCGGAGGAGCACCGGGCCCCTCACCTTCATAGAAAGGAGCTGCACGGTCGAGCCAGAGGTTAGCTGAAGGGCGCCCCAACAGGACGATTCCCAGAAGGTGTCGAATGTGGTGGTGAAGGGGCATTTTATTTGCGCGAGGCTGCAGGGCGAGGTTGTGAGCGAGGCAAAGGAGGCGCGCCAGCAGGTGGTGTGGAGGCCGGCTGCGGTGGCGGGGGTGCAGATGTAGAGGTGTAGAAAGAGCAGCGCGCAGGAGAGGTGCAGAGAGGGGTCACGAAGGGGGGCGGAATGAGGGGTTGCGGTGGAGGTTCTCGCTGCGGTGGCATGTCCTCTGGTAGAGTTCCATAGTGGCATGGTAATAGTAAGGCTCCCCATTCATGGACTTACACAACTGAACACAGTCTGTAACCACCACTGCCGCTAGCAACCACGGCCACCACTATCATCGCGGTTTACCACCCCGACTGCGATTACCCGCAAGCCCTGCTCGCAAGGTGCTTGCATCCAAGGCTAAGTGCGCACTGTATTTGGCATTCCATCACCGACTCAAATTTTCAGATAAACCGACTACGAAGCCATGAAAACCCCGGTCACGCAGCAGCGCGATGATACAGCACCACTGTGCACTACCGCCGTCTGTCGCCGATGCGCAATGCACATCGTGCATCCATTAACACGGCAATCATGGTCCTCCACCCGCCATAGCCGCCGCCATATACAGCTGAAAGGCTCCACCGGAGCTCTCCATGCGTCCCTACCGAACCATCCATCATCGAGGTCGGAGGCCCCAAACCGCTCGGCTGCAGGCACCTGCAACTACTTCCTTGGCCCAAATGGAAAACAGCCCCGTCCACCTCAATAACGCAAGGGAAACACGATAGCTAAGGACAGTGCTTAAGTGCCTCACAATGCATGTCGCGAAGTAGGGCCATGCACGCCCCGAACATGTGTCCCAAAGCAAAGCTTGATCAGACACATCTTACTGGTTTACTCACCACTTTCGTCAGGTAAGGACAGAGACACATTTGAAAATTAGCATGGGAATTGCCAAGTTGTCCTTCGAGCAGCAGCATAGCATTTCCATATCAGGTCTCATCACTGCCTTGACCCTCCCCCTCAACCTCCCTCCGCTGTTTTCAAGAGCGTGTGCGCTGAGGTGCATACGCAGATAAATATACAGTTCGTGGATAGGGTCGCACGGGGACATGGGTGCGAGGAGTGCTCGCATTCATACCTCTCCCGTGCATCTCCGCCTAGGGCTCGGTAACAATCCGTGAGCCTTTCCGTATAACTTGGACCATGGCCAGCAGCGCGCCTAACCAGTCCAACCGAATAAGGGATAGGCGGTACGCATTGCGAGCCAGAATGTGTGCGTGCGCACAGATACCGAGATCCAACCTCACCTGACAACGTCAGCGCCTCCGTCCTTTCCTCGCGGTTAAAGCTGTGGTGGGTATGACACCTCTAAACCTCTACTACGTGTGCGGACTGCCGCCAAGCGGAACCCAGTCCCCACATGCATACAGCAATGCACACTGACCGTTTCTTTTCATGCATACACCTATCTTGCCCCTTGTTGCTTTGCCCCATAGTTCCTTCTACTTAGCCGAGATGGGAACTTTGGCGGAGACCTTTCCTTCGCATTGCCTCTTGTGGCCCCGCATGCCCCTGTATTTGCATATACCAACGCAATGCACGCGTGCACGCCGCGATTCCGCCTTCTACCACACGCAAAGGTCTCAACAGGCCGCGGCACAGTTTAGTCTAACATCAAACACACATATGAATGGTTCGCAACTCATTTCGGACAAACACCACCTGTTCTTTCTGAACACGCCACAGCCTGTCGTTTCCGACTCCGACACCTCGTGCTCCCCACCTGCTCCATTGCGTGTAAACTCAAGGACATGTACCTGGAGCACCCTTTCTTAATCACGTCTATTCGTAGCACATAACGATGAATGCAAGCTTCACGCAAACACACACAACCGGCGCTGCCCTTCGATCACAAACAGAGGAAGGACACTTGCACATGGATTAAGCGGGGAGCTTCGGCCGACTATCCCACGCACACGCACAAGAGAATGGGATCGCACAAGGGATACAGCTCGTTGTCTTTCATTCCGCCTACGCTACCACAAGGGCCAGGTCGGGTTTTGGCAGGTCGGGTTGTGTGCAAGGAGGTTGATGAGGACAACGTGTGCTAGATATGAGCCTTGTCCAGCTCGTGGGAGCCCTATATACCTTTCTCACGTGCAGCTGATTTTCCACGGCCATGCAACACCACGCAACATACACAAGAAAAAGCAGCACTTCAATAACCTTTTCCAGTCCTTAGCATTGCTCTTTCAATCTTTAAAAATAAAGTATTAACGTCATGAGCGTCTCCTCCTCTCCCGTGGCCCCCCGGTGTCGCGGCAGATGTACGAGCACTCAATACGAAACGCAGGCAAAACAACGTACGAAGCAACACATACACAATAAACACATATGCATTGATGCTTGAACAAATTCATTGCAAAAGGGAAGGAGTAGCATTTGTGCATTCCCGCCCGTTCGCTCCGTTCCGCCCTCCCGACAGTGCGCTCATCAATAGCCTCAGCATTACTCTTTAGGCAGGCGCCAGAAATACCCTCGCTGCCGGTTTGGCCGTGGCTCACGGAAGGTGTCCGTCTCCCTCTCCCGCCACCGCGTACCTAAGAAGACCTCCTTGCTAACAAAAGCCTACATGCTAACCCGGCACAGGTTGCTAACAGGGCACCACCGCGACTGTCTCCTAGCCGCGCGGTGGCAACATCGCCCGGCCTCCATCTACCTCCTTCCCACTAGAAGAGGATCCTCGCATTCTGTCTCGTAGGGAATCATGACCAAGGCACAGGCGCTGGACAGAGTTTTGAACAGCGCACGCGGGCGCGTCGGCATGCACGCACGCGCCTACCTGGCGTGTGTCCATCATGCTGGGACGTGCCCCCCGAGTTAACAACCACGTTGACCGTGCGCAACAACACCAGGCCGCTGCGTCTTGTAAATATTGCCATCGCCAGTTACAGTTTGCAATAAATAAAAACTTGGGTCTGCTCCTCGAGGGGGCCACACCGGCTCCCTGCCAGGAAACTGCGTGGGACTTTCAAATGTCCATCGCCCTACCCGCACTATCCCTCCTCCCAGTTTTGAGATTGGCCCACTACCTGTTACACCGTACACTATAACCTGTTAAAATTCGCCTGCCAGGGCGAGGCGGAATACAAAAATTTCGAACTCAAGCAAGAGCAGATGCAAGACGTACAATGCTGAAAGCGAAAATCAGCGCAATTGTTTATACGAGACAAGTAAATTGTTGCAGCCCTAAAGCCAACTCCCCTCCAGCCGTACCGCAGCAGCCGCGATACGGCGTCTCAACACAGCGCTCGTCCTGCAAGGAATTACTTTTCTTCCAGTCCCCGCGGTCGTCACGGTACCGAAAGGTTATGCCCATGTCCGCTAAGGCAACGACCAAGACAGAGGCAACCTGTAACCAATTCAAGCAGGGGCCTAACCCAACACCCTCGACAGCCTACTTCAGCGGCTGCAACCGGACAGGGACCTGCATCCCCGAGGGCGGCCTACCGGGGGGCCCAAGTGTAGCAGCACCACCACCGCCCTGACCGCCCGTCCCGCTATCGTTCCGAATCAAGGATTTCGGAGCAAGGCCCGACACGGGTGCACGCGCGCAGTCGTGCCCAAAGTCCACGGTGTCGCGACCTGGCGTGAGGCCGCAACACTCCACAGTAAGCGGCAGGCCCTGCTCTTGCCGCCACGCCTCCAGATCCGCCAGTAATGTACGATTCCAAGGCACGTACGGCAGATCTGCAGGTGCAATGGGTCCTTCGGATACATTTGCTGTCGTGGGTGCAGGAGACGCGGCGCCGATCGTTCCATGCAGGCCGTACATAACTTCCGCCGCCACAGTGCGGTAGCTGACGCGTACGCCCGGGTCAATGACGACGCGCGTGGGGCCCTGGTTGTGGAGATCATCACAGAGCAAGCTGCACTCCGATGCGTAGCATTCGCCCTCGCTGTGTGAACGAAAGAAGACCCGGCGACTGAGCAGGGGGTAACCCTGAAGAGCCACCAGGCCGTTCCAACAGCAGTAGGCGCTGATAGGCAGGCCCGCCTGAAGGCGCTTCGCCGTAGGTTCGTGCCTAGTGTATGGTGGCTGGCGGTAGAAGCGGCCTCCGCCCACGTCACGTGCGACCCAAATGTCATAAAACGACAGGGGCAAGAGGCGCAATAGAGAGTTGTCGCGGCGGTAGGGCCGGCGCCACAGGCGGAAGGCAAGTTTCCAGGACGCAAGGGCGGCTGCCACGGAGGGCGGGGCATGCCAGACCTTCTCCAAGTGCTGTGCCATGAATTTTCGCTGCTGAGAAGGGCTGTGGTCTGCCAGGATGGGCTCAAAGTCCAGGCCGCAGGCAATGTCGTCGGTGCCGTACTGCAGAAGCCGGATGAGGCCCACAGCGTCAAAAAAGACGTCGTTGATGAAGACGATACGAGACGCGTTACAAAACCCTGCAGAGGTGCTATTACAGGCCGCTAACACCTGGTCCACGGTGGCCTGGCGTACTGAAGACAGGAAAGCGATCCTGTCTTGTCCCGGGGCGCGGGTCAAGTTGCCATTCGCAGTAATTATATTACGCACGGACATGGCATGAAGCAAGCCCCCTATCAGTTGAAGCCATTTAGGCGTGGAGTCATTGCTGCCGCTCTCGTATATAGAAACAAGAATATTGGTGGGCCCCAGCAGCTGCGCTACCCTCACAAGCTGCACCAGCATATTCGGGAGCACCTGCTCTGAATTGTAGAAATTCGCAGCAATTATGCATTTTCCGGAGCATGTTAAAAGATTGAAACTTTGTAGCTCAGCGTTGTGGCAAGGCAACACCAGGCCGTTTCGACGGGCCAAAACGATTGCGTTGACGAAGGGATTACTAGGATAGGTTAAGGGGTTAATATCATGACATGTAACATCTAAGGCTGTTTCGACCGGTGCTCCCCCGTCTCGCGTGGCCAACGAGGCCAGGGCCCGGGTCAGCTCATCGGCCAGCTGCGGTCTTTGAACATCTTTATAATGCCACTGTTGCCAGATATGCCCGACAAGCAGCTGCAGATAGGCGAGGCCTACAAGGAACCCGAAACCAATGACAGGCCAAGAACAAATAAATATGGGATATTGAGGTAAGATGCGTCGATTGCGAAGCATTGCTGTGGTTACATTTGGCACAGTGGCTCGATAACCTTCAAGGCTATCCTGGTATCCTTATAGAACGATGCTTTATGCGGCCGTACGACATCGCTTGTAGCATATACTTATTTTCGATTGGCCACAAGTATGTTAATACATCAATCTCTACCCGCTCAACCAAGGAAGAAATATTACCCCAACCCAAGCACTTTACGCAAGTGCAACTGATACCCCTAAGGTCAACGACAACCGATTTAAGTGTAACCACTAACCAGCTCGGGACTCGGGAGGTCGGACTCTGGCTCCGAACAGCCATTTTGCTGCGAGACCTGAAACTATATACGTCATAAAGAGCTACAATTCCTTAACTTTTGTGCGGGGAGGAACCCCCGCAAAAGAGTTGAAGCTCAAATTCCTGCTGCAAATAGCGGTGCGACGCGTGGGGCCCGCAGGCTTCCTGGATACTTGCAAGTTCATTGGTGGTGATACCTTCAGAGAGGGATGGCAAGCCTGTTACAACGAGTTGCCGGCTGTTGATACATGCCTACCTTCGCTTTCGTGGAACAGTCCGCTTCGGTTGGGAAATCTATGTTTTGCCGGGCATAGAGTAGCGACGCTGGGCCTTTCCTAACGAAATAAAACTCCCACTACCTGGGCTGAGCCTCACGGCAAAGGAGGAAAAATGCAAACGGGTATCCCTGGGCTGGTTACATAGTAATCAGACCTCACGCGACCATGTTAAGCGATAATGGAACGGTAATGGTTGCAAACTATTCTCGAAACCCACAGCAGACACTCTAACAGTTCAGGGAAGCGGTTGGTCAGGCCACGCTATGACCACTTTGCATTGCGTTCACATCTTCCATTGATGCCGAATCCGAACCCGTGCAATTGTTTCAACCGCGAACGTGGATTGCCGGCCACATTCCTCATTACATAACAGTCTATCCTCCCGTCCATTACGCTGAATGACACACAACAAAAGGTCCCCACCGCCGCACACACAACGACTTTCCCACAGAACCTGCTGCACCTTTTGCCAGCCAAGCGGCGCAAGCACGAAAAGCTTCTACAGCTAGCTATGACCGCCCAGGCGTACGTAAGGCATGCGCAACTCATTGGCCCACGGTTCCAAGGAAACAACGCCCAAGGAAACGCCAATCCGTCCAAACTTGCAGACAAATAGGCTACGCATATAGGTGACATGCCGCACCTGGCGCTTGTCAAAACAAATCATCTGGTGTCGGAAGAACAGCAATGGTGGTCCCACGCTGGCATATCCCAGGTCAAAGCAATCGGGACATGCATAGGGGAATCCATTAACTACACAGCTTTAACCCCTCCTGCTTGGCGCACAAAGCAGCCTTGACGCAATCGCTAGGCTTACTTTGCGTCCGCCACACGCTTCGTAACGCGCGCCACGAAACCCGCCTTGATTGCTTGCACGGTCCTCGAAGCGCCGCACTGCATAGATTAAGGCCATTGACACAACACCAGTAGATGGGCGACTATTAAATGTACACTGCGGAACGACCATGGTGTCAATAAGGGTGCATGGTACAGATATTGCAAAAATAACTGATACCTAAATTTCTTTACCGTTTTCATAATTTTGCGGGATGAAAATCCAATGTACACTTTGCACGTTCCCGGGAGGAAAACACGTACAGCACCTAGTAACTCTTTCTTAACCAAGCGCCGCCTGCAGCCTTCCGACTTCACAAATTCACGTGGGCACTGGGCTTGTAGAAGCCTTTGACATTCGAGTGGAAACGCGCGTATTCGATTTGGCGCGGGATCACACCCAACACGGAGTGGCGAAAGTTCACAAACCGATATGACTAAAGTTCCCCATCTGGTTCGGCTATCTCGCCTGACACCGGCATCTGTCAATCCCTTTCCTCCCCCGAGACCCACCTGCTGGCAGCGGAGATGCATGAGACGCGTAGCGCTATCTTTATCTAGGAGCGTGTCTACGCTCTTGCAGCCAGGGCAGAGCACGTACCTGCAAAAGGAAGTGAAGGAAGTGTATGCTTTAAACACGACAGCAAGCAGCCCGCATTCACAGCCTACCTTCCATCACCTCATGGCGTCAATGCGTTTGCCCAATTAACTCTCGCATTCAGCAGCAGCTTTAATAACCTATTACCCGATGCCTCACGTGTATCACACACGCACTAAATTGAGTAGGAAAGAGTACTGCAGCAAGCCACTTGAGTGGTGATGAAGACTACTGCAGGTGCTACTGGTGTTCCAGCTACCAATAATTATGATTTCGACTTTCCTAACGAACGCCCCGCGCACACTCACTCGTTGACGTAGCGACGAAGCACCGTCTCGAACGACTTGGGCAGGAAACGGCCCTTGACAATCAGCCGCTGCTGCCCGTCCAGGTTGCCACTCGTGCCCAACTCAGCGAGAAGGTACTGCGACACGTGTTCATGCTGCCTGTTCATAGCTTTGCACAGGTCCATGAAATTCGTGAAGACCGTCTTCTTGGTGCCTTCACGGGCGACTTGGGGCGGCTTAAGCACCGTGCGGCGGCGCTCGCCTGTGAGCTCCGGGTTCCTCTCGCGCAGAATACCGAATACACGCTCTGCACCGCGGTACAAAAGGACGATGTAGGTGCGCTCGAGGCACCGACAGAAAATACAATCAGTGCGGGGCCGGTCGAATAGACAACCGAGTCCTGTTGTCGATGCAACACAAGCTAACCACCGTGCACGAAATCCCGTCGGCGTTATGGTTAACATCCCCTTCGCCACTCTGGCCCTTCTCTCTGGCTCACCCTGTTATTCTTTCGTCACTCCCACTGCCTATATTGCTAGTTTATCATGATTTTAGCATTTACGTTTTTCATCGACACTGCCACAAATTAAACAGGTACTGCTACTTTATTACGACTCCGTTGCTGCACAAACACTCTTACAAACGTAAGCTGTTCGGATGCTGAAATCGATGCAATCCTAACCAGCTATGGCAGCGGCATATGTCCTCACCAAGCAGCTCCTCGTAGTCGTATTCGCGGTCTGAACCCGACCAAGGGAACTTGCCGACGGACTTCTCCTGGCCGTCGTCCGCGGGTCCCACAGCGCCCTCCTCACCCTCCTCAAAGTCAGCCTCCTCTTGGCGGTTCTGCGGCATGTGCCCAAGGCTGGTCCTCGTAATCCAATTGACTCGTGTACGCGTTCTCAGCGTCATTCAAAATCAAGCATCTAAAAACGAGACAACGCACGCACGGTGCACCATGGACAGTTACGTGGGTATCTGCGTGGGGAGCCTGACGGGCCAGGGGGCAATCCTTCCATTTCGCAACTAGATTGGCTCGTAATCCTTTCCCCCCCTGCCCACCTTCTTTTTCTTTTTCTTCTTCTTGCTCAGGTCCAGGTCCAGGGACATTTCCATACCATCGTCGGCTTCCGCAGCAGGAGCTGCTGGCGCTGCTGCCGCCTCAGCGTCATCCTTGTCAGTCGTCCAAAAAACAAATGAGCCCGTGCATCATAGCAAAAACCTTAGTAACTGTAAATTTGCGTCGACAGCTTACCAGATCGAGCACTAACTCCTTCTTCTTCTTTTTCTTCTTCTTGCCCAGGTCCAAAGTTAGTTCAAGGTCATCGTTGACTGCACGTAAGTCAAAGGATTAGTGTGTTCCGCGCTCTAGGCATTTGGCCGCCTAATAAGAGATGTACCTTCCAGCTCCTTAACACCCTCCGCAACTTGCTCAACCTCATTGTCCTGAAGCCGTTGAGAGGTTGACAATGCTCATTTAAGAAATTCTGACAACGGCTCGAAAACTACGTACTTACCGCCATGGCTCCCACAGATCCTAGGCACTTCCTCTAGATTAATAACGGGTAGCTATACTTGACACTAGTAATTTGACCGAATGGCGAATCCTTCGCAGCGACTGTGCCTTGAGAGGAAGTCGTACAACTAGGGCCCTTTCAGAGCCGCCATGCCCATATAAACGGCATCCTGCTTTTGTCTTAATTATCTTTATCTCAGACGCATCAATGTAATCAATTTCTGTGCTGGCAATGGATATTATGTGGCACTGCTTCAGTCGTTAAATGGAGCTGTTTCAAGAATGGGCATGACCAACAGAGGCCATAATTACTGACATCAATCGAGAGTAATGGTCATGGCCGTCAAACCTGAGCTTTCCCATGGTACTGGGTGGCGCCGCCGGGCTTCGGCGGCTACAATTGTGGCCTGGCGAACATGTCGCAATCCACCATAAGCAGGTGAGTGGATCTTATCACATTACTGTCAACAAGGCGGCTGTCATATTCGGCTCACCTCTCGGCAATGAAGATGCATAGACTCCCTCTTCTGATTCCTGTGAGGATTAAGTCGGCACGGAATCGAATAACTTACAGCCAACTCTGAGCCGTCAAACTGCAATGGTTTTCGTATAATGGCATGCCCTGAAGTGTCTGCATCCTGAATCTTGCTCTCTAAAGGCGTTGCTGGGTGTTCTTGTGCGGTGTTCACCTGGTGTCATGGGGAGCGCAAATTGCATAAAGCCAGATTAAAAACCAGCTTAGACCTTCTCCTACTGTAGGCCTTATGCTGACCTGTCTCCTGGCACAACTCTTCCGATGCTATGCATAAGCGTAGTTCCCATCGTGCATTAAGAGGCTTCGTACGTGTCTTGTTCATGTGATATGCACACACAACAACCCCGGGCGGCGGTCCTTACCCTTGGATCTGTGCGTCCCAATGGCGTGTGCTACAGTCGCGGGTGACCGCAGGAGAGCACGTGTTTCAGCATGGCTTATGTAATGCCTGGCTGGGTCAAGATACCTCTGACACATTCTTGTTTTCGCCCCCCCCTGCCACGGCTGTGGTAGCAACTACGGTAGCAATAACCACATCTGTCAGTGGGAGCGGGCATATCAATGCCTTAACGCTCAGGAAACTGGGCGAGATCCACATATGACTCGTTCGGTGCCGAGTAGTGTTTACATCATCCACCTGTCCTGTATTCAACATCATTCATCTCGTTTCTTATAAATGTCGAGGATGAGACTTTTTCTGTCAATCCACTGAGCCTGCAAAGGCCTGATGTGACAAACCCTCTAAGAAGTCCTGAGACTGGTTTTCTTGGATTAATCCTTAATATTCATTCATTCTGACTTCATTTCATGGGCCGGTTGATGATTTTAAATTAAATGGAATTACCGTCTGATTCTATCTGAAGAGAAATGGCTGCCTGACGGCTCATGTTTAGCACTCCGTGGCTTCGGGTACATGGACTGTACTGCGGTTTGGCAACCATCTGCCAAGCCTTGCGCTAGTATAGTTGGTTGCCAGATAGCCCACATTAATTTCAACTGTTGAGTCGTCCACGTGACTTTCAATATGATCGTGGACGAATTAGTGCTTGAGACAGTAATATTTGTAGCGTCATGTTCAAGTCTGGCCTATGATTCTCAACTTATAAAAGTAGTGGAGGGACTCGGGTCACATGATTCCGAGATTGACCAATATATATCAGTCTTCAACCTGAGGCCTATTATTGAACTAACATTATTTACGCCACTGCCGAGCTTGTTTGTCCGAGACCCGCTTCAACTGTATCGGCCTGTGATGAAGACAAAGATACAGACCTAACTTAACTCCCTGAAGCATCGTGATGCCTTTCATCTAAGGGACTGAGGCCACAGTTGCGGGTTTTTTGTATGCCACATGTCTCGTCGCGAGTGTTCACTGTCAGGACACGTCGCATGATTTAATAAGCAAGTCGAATCGGGATTGTTCATGCGTGCAAGATGACTTCGTTAGTGTAACCGGGGGCGGTGTGGAGTTCGGCAGGAGATTTGGTATACATCTGTGGTTCACAGATGCTGGGCGTCTTTAATTATCAACTGTAAGGTCGACTCCGCATATGCGTCAAACTTTCTTGTCCACAACTTCTGCTACATAACACGTACATGACATTCGAGGGCTCAAAAGGCTGCCAGATCGTCTAACAAAGAAAGTGAAAAAAATCTAACGACCAAATGGGAAAGAAAGTTATGCAGTCTAATTAGAATTTCTTTTCCAAGCGTCCAGGTTTACATGATCGAACCGTATGCTTACATGATCGAACCGTTTCGTAGCATCGAAGCGTATAATTTCCATATCATATCTGTTTTTGTCCTAAACGAGCACTATCTAGTTACCTTGTTTATACATCTGCTGTACCGTTTACCCGAAACTTTCACCGTTCAATCGAACCTCGTGCAGTTGCCACTAAGCCGACACACGAAATTGCCTCTAACTTAAGTGCGATGTCACATGCCTGTGACCTATCCTCGGCAAATCCTTGACCTATCCTATTATTTGGCAACACAAATGACGAACCACCAGTTAATGTGCAGCACTCAGATGCAGATCCTTGATCAAGACTCCCCGCCATCGTCGTCGCCCGCCAGCTCGTCCAGTTCTAGCACATTGCGTTCAACATAGTTGATGATCTCTGAAATGCGGTCGCGATTGCGCCTGGTAGCCCAAGTGGCGTTGGATGATGTAAGGTCGTTGGCGCTGCGCAGCTCCTGGCTGATCAGCCGATCCTCCAACGCATCGATTTTTTGCATGTGCGCGTCGTGGCTGGCTTGCAGCGCATTCATCAGACTGTCCTTGTCCTGCAGTCAAAAACACCACGCGTGGGTTCAGGATGTACAAGTGGTCAAGATGCATGAATTAGGGACATAACGTACATAACGCAGCGGAAAGTAAGAGGATGTGTGGGGTCAAAGGCTTAGAGCAACCAGGTACCCAATTGCTCGGAAAAATGTGCCGCAGGTTAGCCGCACTCGGTACGCCACACACCTGCAGCAACGTCCGTGCATCCTCCGGCAGGCTCTCAATATCGCTGTTCTCTTGGTTGTACTTCTCAAACACCGTCATTGCGACAGATGTGAGCTGGTTGAAGAACGAGTTTTGCAGGTCACGGACTTGGGTAAAATACGTGTTGTACTGCCCCTTATTGGTTTCCGCCAACTCCGAATACGCGCGGTCAAACTCCTGCACCAGCCCATCCAGAATCTCCACCGTCTCCATCTCAATTGCCATCAGCTGGTCTTTGAGCGACATCAACTTCACCTGCACACGGAACGCCGTTGTCCGCCGGCAGAGAGCGGACAGCACAGAGCCAAGACTGAAACCGAAGACACGCCCGGCAGCCGCTGAAGCAAAGGGAAACAACACAGCGCAGAAGCCAAACAGAACTACACAACTTACGGCAACACAGCCTTATCCCTAAAACGCATAGAGGCCACGGATCCAGAGGTCCGACCGTTCAGCAAGGAGGATCCTTTTGTGACCACTGGAACACAATTGTTTTATGTGCAGGCTGTAAACGTATAAGCGATAATGTCACTTCGCAATGCTTCCCGGATGCAAATACATGCTCTCTTGCCGGTTGCCACGCACCTTGAGGCTGAGGATCTGGTTATCTGCAAGAGCCGGGTTGTCAACGACGGTGCGGGCCGTGTGTTTCTTGGCCTTCTCGAATTCAACAATGAGCTTGCGTGCCTCGGCATCCTTCTCGTCCAGGTACCCTCGCACCACGTTGAGCCACTCCTCATACTCGGCTTTCTTGCGGTTATGCTGGTCCAAGATGGAAGCCTGCATGCATTGGTGCATGCTTACACGGATGTATGAGCACATTCAAGCAAGCATGGGCATGCATGCGCCATAGTGTGACGTGTGACTCCTGCAGGACGCTTATTTTTTGTATTTCAGGGCCACTCCACATGCGCGCGCCTCAGCCTAAATTCCTAACAGCTGTGTAGAACGACCACACAAAGCCTGGACGCGCGATGTCTCTTCGACTACAACCCACACAAGTTTTGGCAAACAACATCTGTGAAGTTTTGCGGGGTATGGGCCGGGTTATACCCCACGTTCAACATCGGGGTTCGGGCGGCACTCGGGTGTACCTGACTCCGAGCACCTAACACAAAATCGGATATGCTATTCGATGGTTTGGGATGTTAATGACCCGAACGCATCTAGAGCCAGCACCCGTCCAACCCAGGTAGGATCAGGTTTACCCTGGTCGGCGCTCCGACATCAGGACGCAATGGCATGCAGTGTGATATGCACCATGCAGTGACACGCTATGCACGCAAAGAGAAGCCAGAAATTTCTAGCATGCTTACCTTAAACTCGTCCGTGGCGACATTGAACTTGTCACGGATGTCGTTCCATGGGTCCAACAGATTGGGCACCTGGACGAGTCGGGTCCACTCTGGATCCTCCTTCACCTGCGGAACGTTTAAAGCAGAAAGTTCAAGTTCAAGCACAACCCAAAGAGGGGTTGCGAAAGGTGTTCGGGTGCTTTTGCGGACACAGGCACAGGGCCAGGGTGTGTTGCCCGGGTGCTATGGCAGCTTTGAGCGCCTCCACACAATATCCTCACAGGTCTCGCAGCAACTCCAATTGCCACGGTGCGCACGCCACCATCCCCCAAAGTTACATGTTCCACCCTCATCCCCGATAGCCCATCCCCTCCTTTGGGGTCTTGTTCGTGGTGTTATCCACGCCGCGTCCCCCGTTGCTCAAGGGACGCACGCCGAAACCGCACTTAATCCTCTTCATCATTTCACTGCCTGACTTCCATCACCCCAGAACAGTCTCATCACCCACCATATCGTCTATGAGCGTCTCCACTCCCTCCAGATTCGCCTGCGTCATGAGTTTGTTGTGTGCCTCCCGCTCCGCAGTGAGCTTCTCCTCCTGCGCCTGCTGTTCCTCGCGCTCCTGCAGCTCAATCATCTCGTCCTGTGGGCGATCATTAGGCAAAAGCATGGATATGGGCATAAACACAATGGACACAGTGTGAATTTCGTGTGAGTGTGTCCGTGCGTGTGTATGTCTTTAATGAATCGGGCCCCGAAATAAAGTCCAATTTGCGCCTACATATGCAAGTACACGGACTAACTGCGCGGACACAGACACATACACACACATGCCCTTGGGCCTTTGGCGCGTATGGATAGTTTTACAGGTATGGGGTCACGCACCCCCAACCATGTAACACAGACACACATGTACACACGCGCTGACACATGTTCACCCTCACGGTGTGTGATGCCCAGTGCAAGCCACGTTTCCTTCTAAGGGCTGGGGTTCCCAAGTCCAAACCCTCTCTTAAGTTTTCCCCAGCAACCTCACTCGCACCTGGTGCTGCTCCCGGGCCGCCTGCACATCAGCAGGATTCACCCTGCGGTAGTCCAAGTAGATGAGGTCCTTAATGTGCGACAGCACATAGGAGCGGTAGTCGTGGTCCTTGCAGATGGGGTTTCCCGCCAAGTTCACCAGCCGCAGCTGCTTAAACTGACGCAAGTACATGACATTGTCCAGCTGCGTCAGCTGGTTGTTACCTGTCGACAGAGCGTGGGTGGCAGGGCTGGGTATGGAAGTGATGGAAAGGACATCGGCTCAGGGTGAGACGCGACTTTGCCCCACAACCCTGGACCAACCCGGTTACCAAAACACACGTCCGGTAACCCGTCTTCAGCCCCGCCGACATACCCACACCCGTGCCTAATATCATCATTATTGTTGTTGGTAGTAGCTGCAGCGATAATTGTGGTTTTCATGCGTCTAAAGGCCAGGACAGTGGGAGATCCCGCATAGACCCGGTTGGTGCTGTAGGTATTGTATTCAGTTGCTGACAGCTGCCATAACAATTGCTTTCCCAGCGTCCTATGCCCCGATACCGTCCCCAACACCGGGTCCACGGCTCTGCCCAGCCCACAGCGCATTTGCTGTCGCCTCTATAACATCAGCTGGTCGTCTGCGGGGTTCTAGCAGTGCCCATATTACTCCATGGCGACAAGTTCAAGACTGTAAGCGCCCAACACTGTCTACCTGGCATGTGCCCGGCTGTCTGCGAGCCCCCGCGTACTCACGACCTCCTACAGTGCCCGCCTGGTTGCCCGCTTTTCCCATATGTGCATAGTTGTCTTGCGCCGTCTAGCATACCCACCCAGTGACAGGACATTGAGATTGACCAGCGTGTCCAAGTTTTCAATCTTGGAAATGTTGTTGTTGAACAGCGAGAGGTCAACCAGCTTTGTAAGAGTTTCCAGGCCACTGATGACGCTGATTTTGTTAAAGGATAAGTCAAGCCAGGTCAGGTTTGTCTGCAGGCGAGTTGGAGGACGGGGATTATTGCAAGCGTTAGTGGGTGGTAAGCGTAGCGCTTGTGCGGCGGAAGTGCGTACGGAGAGGGCAAGCCTGCACAATTGTTTCTGTACGAGTCGGGAGGTTTTGGTTAAACTCGGTATGGCGGGAGGCGGTGGTAAAGGATACGGCACGCAGGAAGCTTTTATACGGATGGTATGGGACACACGTGGACTTGGGCCGCCATAGGCTAAACCCCCAAGTGATGGAACGGATACTGGGAAATGCCTTGGGCCGGATCCATTGGGACAACGGTACCCCCTTTGGGCGCAGGACCGTGCAACCAGCTGCGTCGTCCTGCTGCTCTAACACAGGCCAGCACACCCCCAATCCAGCGCCCGGCACACGGACTTGATTCCCATATAACCGGCCCTACCAAGTGGGCCAGATTTTCAATTTTCTTGATTTGATTATTGTCCAACTGAAGCTTTGTCAAGTTGTCCAACCCCCTCAAGTTGTCGATGCAAGCCAGGTTCTTGAAGCTGAATGCCAAGCACTCCACGTCCCGGAACGGCATGCTGCGCTTCTTGTTGGCTGCTGTGTCGGGTTCCCCCCCTTGTATCTACAGAATTTTGCCAGAGCGCTTCCGCCATGTGCCGAAAACAGCCGAAGCGATAACAGATCCAAATCCCTACCTGTATACATTCTCGTGTGAGCACCTCCGTAATAACATTAGGCTCCACCTCCGCTATCAGCCGCTCTAAGCTGGGCATGTTTCGACACCGCGGCCCGCGACCGCCTAATAGAAGGCTGAAACGTTTTCACATTAATTATTTATGCATGTTCGGTACTATAGTAACGTGGACATGAACGCATTCATAATTCTGGGTCGACAAGCTGCAACACACTCTATGCTCTGGTACAGATCACGCTGTGGTTTAAGCGGACAATAGCTTAGTTTAGCAAATCGCTATGTGCGCTTGAGTTCGGTTTTGTAACTAATGCCCTGGGTCAACGTCTCACAAAACGGCCGTACACAAAACCTTCTCAAAAGCATCTTGCTAAACATCTGCAATTTATTCGTGTCTAGCAAGAAACCACAACTGCGCAGTAATTTATTTTAGGAATTCTTAAAATACGAACTGTCCCATGTGCAACAGCGACCTGCCCTAACTAAACGTAGCAGATCACAGTTATCCTAATAGTGGGATCCTCGTATAAACATTTGATGACGTGATCGTGTAGAGTTGTGACCCAAGTAGTTAGATTGCACAGGATCCGGTAGGGGCTTGCAGGAAAGTCAGGAAGGATGTTAGGCAGGCGTGGCGCGGGACGAGGGGAAGTCGTCAGTACCTGGCATAAGATTGGTGCCACTGCTGCGGGCATCGTTGCCGGATACCTTCTCGGCGTGGCTTTGATGGAGACGGTCGATATGGTGAGTCGGATGACTGTGGCGGACAAGAGGTCCGCACAAGCAACTTTATAGGTGTTTCTAGGCAAGTAGCCCTGGAGGAAGCCCCTTGGTGCGTACCCCGTGAGTTGCCCTCTCACTATGTGACTTGCAGTTTTACGCGACCCCCGTCAACCCAACAGCGGTGGCTTTGAGCGGCAATCCGGGGCAAGGTAACACGCTTTATACGCGCTTCTGCTTTGTCCGTTATCGCTGTTAGCTGCACGCTGCTTCATTTCCGTACATGCGTCAAGACACTCTTCTGCTGAATCCGGCTTTGCACCTTGCTGTCCACCCATCACTCGTCACCAATTCACGACAGGTGGCGGCGCGACCAAGGTCGGTGGAAAGACCATCCACTCTGTCTTGACCAGCAACGGGAGCCCCTACCAAAATTTCCAGGGACGCATTATGTGAGTTGCTGCTGAGATGGGACGAGTGGAAGGACAGTATATGTGTACCGCGCGCATGTGGTTCGTGGGCAACAATTTTTGGAGCGCCTGCCACCCCCACCATCTTGAGTTACTGTTGCAAAGGTTCTATCGGCGCCGCCCGGGCCTCATCGGTACCCTTGCGCGTATATACCCTCTCCTCTCGTCCCTCACACTGCCCTCGTTGCGTGGCGGCAGGCCCAAAGGGACCAACACTAAACTCCCTGGCGACACTATTCACAGCATCTTTACATGTGGCGGGGACTATTATCAGGATTTCCAAAGTAGAATCATGTGAGTCTCGGTGCCGTGTTGATGACACGTGCAGGCCAGCTGTAACAACACACACACCATCCATCCATCCATCAGATCGGCCAGACATGCAGTCGCATTTGGGGGATCTACTTCTCATCAGTTCACCCAAGAGCCCTGCGTGTGAGTGCACCATATCTCGAACAGGCCCCCCCTGCATCTCCTGTGGCCCTCGGGTCAGCTCTAAAGTATTTGCACAGGCCGACAGAGACAGAGATTGAGATGTATGTGGCAAGATCCAACGACCCCCGCCACTACTGCTCCCTCATGCTGTATCCTGAACGAGATTGGCTGCAGGTATGGGACCTACAAGCTAGTGCAGAAGATGCCCGGTGGTGACAAGCTCACAGGCTTTACACGTATCCTGCATCGCATGAAGCCGGATGAGCTTATGGACGAGGTGCGCCCCTGGTGGGGTGGGGGATTGTTTCTGCAGGCACGGCGTTAACGAAGGTTGCACGGGCCTGCATCGCAGCTGGGTGTATCGGCTAGCCCTTCTGGTAGCGCCGGGCGAAATGGTTAAGCGCCTAAACACATTGCGATGCGATGTCATGTGAATGGTCCATGGTGACGCGACCTGGTCGGTTGTGTGCGACGACGGCTTGGACCGCTTTGTTTTGGTTCGGCTCGCAGATCCCCACCTTCAGGGCGAACCCGCTGCACCCTGAATGCGATGAGTGGTGTGACTTTCCAGTGGCGGACCGGCCCAACGCGGTAAAGCAGTGGTTGGACGCCGCAGCGAAGGAGCCCGGCATGATTAAGGGCGCGTGGATTCTGTTGCTGGAGTGCGACTATGTTTGGATGCGGCCCGTACAGGCGCCGGACGCGTACGACACCAGGTCAGCTATAATCCATTTGTCCTGTATCGTCCTCCTCCACCATTACGACGGTTCGGCTGATGTCACGGCTCTTGCTGTAGGAGAGGGATCCCCATCTGCTATTGATGTATAAGCGGGAGCTCGTCTGTCTGTTTCCTCATGGCGTCGTTAGTCGTTTTAATTATTTCCCCCATTGCCTCCCTTACCTTTGTTTCCAGTGCGGTCGGCTTCCAGTTCATGTTTGACTACATCATGCCAGAACATCCATGTAGGTTTGGTGGGTTGCCGGGTGGAATGAAGTGAAGGAATTGAATGAGAGCGACGCAGCAGGGCAGGGCGGCTGGGGGTGAAGTAAGGTACAGAGGGTTTGCAACATCGCGGCTGCTGCTTAGAGCACAAGGCATGCCGTGTGTGAAGGAGTGAGAACATGGTGATTGGGGTTGTGAGCCTAGTGTCCTGCGTCCTCGCTGGTCCCGCGGCGGTCGGTAACGGGTTTTTCCAATCTGAGCACAATAGCGCGCCACCTGAAATGGCGGTTACTGTGCTCCCGGCCGCAACGCCTCTTGCCATGGGCAATTAGAACCACCATTGCCATGCATGGTGATGCCAACCATGCATGCTTGCGCGTAAAGTCCCTACTTCCCGAACCTGGTACTGGGGAACGATGTCGGTATCACCCGCTGACCTGGACAGATGTAGCCTGAATGTACTTCGCATCCTTTTTAAATTTGTCCGCCGTGCGCCCTTGTGCGTGGTCTCTCGCTTGCTGCCGCAGCTGCCGTCCCTTTTATGAATAAGCTCAGTGGCGGCCGGGTGGAACCAAAGGACATTCCAAGGTCGGGTCCGGCACCTGTGCTGATCCGCTACACGGACCTGGCCGCCCTAACTCCCGACTGGGAGAGGGTCACCGCCGCCATCGAAGCGGATCCGGAGGCAGTGAAGCAGTTGGACTGGGTTCGGGAGATGTACGCCTGGGACATCGCACTGGCCCTACACAACGTCTCGATGGTGACAGAGACACCGCCGCACAGTCGGCTGATTGCCCAGCCGCCGCACGACCTCGTCCTGGGAGACGCAGCCATGTGTCACTATACCTGGTGGGTTAGCGAAGAGGGCTACGGGTAGTGCGAGCGGCGGGGGTTTTGTACATGTCAGCTGTTAGGGTTTGAGGTCCTCCATTGTCCGAGGGTCTATAGTCTGCCATTCCGTTAGCAATGTGCGTGGAAACCCGTCTGTGTACGAATTCGCAGCATAGATCAATTCCTCCTACAGTGATTTCTATGAGGCCCTGTAATGAGGCCCGCTTATTACCTTACCTATGCGCGTGTTATTCTTGAGATAACTTTGTGTTTGGAACGCGCCATAGCGCCGGCGGAGTCTCCATCTGGCGTGTGATGTGGACCGACTCGTTATGGGGGCGGACATTGTCATGTCGTGATGGTGGCGAGACCTTTGCACATGTGCGCCTTTCCTGCCGTCCGTTCTCGCATTTCTCGCGCGCACCACCACATGCACGCACGCGCCTCTAAAGAGATGTTCCCCTCTAAACCGCGGTGTCCTCAGGGGCACGCTCTACTTCGAGAACAAGAAGGAAATTTGGAAATGGGAGAAACGTGACTATACATCGCGTGAGGTTGCGCTGAAGGTGCCGCTGCTCACCATGCCGCCACAGCCCTGGAAGGAGGGCTGGGTCCTTCAGGACAACCTGCCAGTGACCCGGGAGCTGCACGAGCTGGTGACCGGGATGATTGGTCAAATGAACAAGGCCATCAGCACGCTGCCGGACCTGAGCAATGCGCCACTGCGGACGTGAGACGGGACCAGCTACCTGGCCGTTCCATGCCCCTTCTCCACGGCGCCGGCACCAGTACCTGCTCCACGGTCGCCATGTCGTCGTCTTGTCTGGGTCGGCTTGAAACGTCACAGTCCTGTGGACCCGTATGAATTATTGGGGCTCTGATGTCGGCTGGTGTGGCGTGAGCGTTAGTGAGGGAATACGGAGGAGCGAGGGCAGCGGCGCTGGGGCACAGCCACATACATCATGGGTCTTCGTGCGCGGATACGTGTGTAGGTGATCACCAGCAACCGGAGCGTGGCAAGGATTTGCAAGTGATTGTACTGGGTGGACAGGACTTGTGGGGCGCGCATGTGAGCTCCGGATGGTTGCTATGCTGCATGCGGTGTTAATGCATTTACCCATGTACACGGAGGGACAGGAAAACGGGCAGCTAGCCTGTGATCCCAGCTGAGTGTGATCAAGTGTTGTTGTGCACCCGAAGCGTGTGGTCTCGTTTACTAGAGTTGATTTTTTGGACACGGATTAATAGCGGGGGACGATATATACGATCACCAGTGGGTTTGACGACATCCCCGCATTGCCGCGGAGACGCTGCACGGTTCGGCAGCTTTGCTGCGAATACGTACGAAGGTTGGGTATTAGAAATAAGGCACCCGAGCACGATGATGTCACGCGCTGCATTTTGTAACGACGGTTGGCGAGAGGTTCTGCGTAGATAGGATGGTAATTTGGGGACAGATGTACGGTGAAGCCCTCGCGATGCTCCCGGCAGCCCCGGGAGAATTTTGGAAGGAGCAGCTGTGTGTCGTTTTGTGAACACGTTCTATAAACATCTGCCCACTGGTCCCCCATTCCATGCTTGCCATCCGCTGGTTGACAACTTCTGTCGGGGAATGTGTGTTGCAGGTACCCCAAGCGTTCTGGCCAATGCAGTGCAGCCTTGGGACACTAACCCTGTAAACAGCTTAGGCTCAGGCGTCCGCTTAGGGGAAGAACCTCTTTTGGAAGCACCTTGGCGCGTATGCACATATGATCATGTTCCATGCTGTATTCTCAGTGCCTTCGGCACGGATGGTTGGACTTGCATGCGCCAGCCGGCAGCTCTAGACTCTGTTCCTTCTTTGCATTTCTAGTTTATCTTACTTTATTGGTTTGTATTCAAGCGCACGCGTCCAAAGTGCAACTGCTAACAGCGCGAGTCGTTTATAATTGCTGCAGAGGGTGTCCTCGTATATGGCATGCGGGGCCCCAAAATGCGTTAAGGGCTATAACCTAAGGGTGCTTACCTTTAACAGCCTAAGACGTTCAACTCGTACGATAGTTCGTTTTCAGGTAGTGGTTTCAGTTGTCGATTGAAACAGAACAGGATCAATGGACGGAATCTTGCAAGCCAAACTACATCTCTACATCCTGTGGAGGCCACGTCCTACACGACGTGAAGCCATGCCGTAGGGCGCTCTGTCGTTGTCTATCCACTGTCGAGGCCATCTCGAGCAGCGGCTTTGGCTGCACATTTCTAGTCCTACTATGATCTTACCTTTGTAAAATCAACGTTTTACGATTCCGCACGGGATGCTGCAACTTGTAACTAACACAGTCATGGAACCGTGAGAAGTTGACTTCCACTCTCGACTAATGGTGCAATAATAAACTGACGCCAGCTAGATGTCAGGCTTCGGACTCGCTGCGGAAATTGATGACGGGTGCGCTTGAACTGGTTTCGTTTAAAGCAGCCGTTCCAACAGCTCGTCGCCAACAATGCCCATCTTGTGCCCTGCAGCTCTTTGCCTGGACCGAGGGATGATTTTGGGCAGCAGGTAATGCTGTAATACTCTAGTTAACCAGAACTCCATGCTTCGCAGCTACCTTACCCTGGAGAGGTGACCATCTCAGCTCGCGAGGGCCTCCTAAAAGTGCTGGCCGACGAAATTAGTCCCGCACTACATCATATAAAACATGTCAACAATCGACTTTTAATTCGTGCCTACCAAACCTGCAAACCTGCAGGGGGCGTCTTCGGGATTCGTCGCTGAGGCAAGCCTTGGCGGTGGCATTCCGCCGGTGCAGCACCCGCGCAGTGCCTCAGGGCAGAGCGATCCCGTGCTTCCTGCGCAGCTGGTCCCAGGCAGGCGGAGGGCCCCCCAACTGGCCAACGACTTTGGCCTAGCAGCAGAAACATCGGGTCTGCATACAACACCGGAAGACCCAGATCCTAACTTTCCGGTACCAGACGCCCGAAAGGGCGGGAGGCCTATGGGAGGCGCAGCAGCTGCTGTAAACACTGCTGCCAGGCAGCCCAGGCGTGTTGGCCCCGTGGGAGGCAGAGAACGGCTTGCACAGCGCTCCGACCTCGATGCGGGCCTGGTTAAGGACAACACCAGACGACCTCAGCAGATACCGCCGACTGCGATGTACCCTCCGGACGATCTGGGTCCCGCGTCCACAGGTCCCGGGTGGGTGGGGTGGGGGACATAGGGCCCATAGCCGGCCTTGCCACCTCCACTGCCACCTCCGTGCCTAGTAACACAGGGGCCTACACGCATGTCCGTTAACCTGGCTATCCACGTCTTACGACAACTAAGCGCAAACCCGCTATGCGCTCCGACATGAGGGATAGTCCATCTTGCCTTTACGCCATCTGGGTCAAACGCACTTGGGCGTTCCTTGCACCACCACCACTCGTGTCGCCTATGCGCCGACTGCCTGGCTAGTCCTGAGCTGGATTACGGGGAGAGTAGTGCGGCCTAATGGAACCCAATCCCCGCTCCTCCATCCCGTCAGGTCGCCCTTTGAGGACCCCGCTGATCTGTTTGCGCGTACCAAGGCGCAGAAGCTGCTCAGTCGCCAGACTGCCTCGCGTCTCGCACAGCAGCAGCTAGACCGGCAGGTGGATGTCATGACACGGCGGCCGCCCTCACAGCAGGTAACACCTGGTTTAAGTGGCTAGTTGGTTGAGTTGACTGGCGGGCACGTTAGGCCGGGCAGTTTAGCAGGCTTGGTTGGCGGGCTGGAGGAGCCCTCTGTAGGCTGCGTTCGGAGCCACATGGGGCGAAGTATGCTGCATTGCAGCACACAGGCCATGGCTGTGGCTATGATGTCCATACGTTAGGACGGGGTGTAGAGTGTGCGTGTATATGTGTATTGGAAAGTCAAGGCATGTGGATGAAAAGGCAGTGTTTCAGTGATTCTTCATGGCCAAGTGGCCACCACGGTGGTCAAGAAATGTCCGATTGGGGGACATAGCTTCGGCAATAGGTAGAGGGGAGATACAGGGAGGTTTCAAGTGCTGTGGCTCTTGGTGGGATCATGTTTGGGCGAAAACACTGCGACTCCTGCCCCGTCCCATACTGCGCGTGGATCTGAATACAGATGGTTCAACACTCAATGCCCGTTATGCAAACGTTGTCCAGACGTACAAACCTTTGCCGTAAAACATTTATCTATCGTACACGTGCGTGCAGGACATGGAACGTGCTGCGGTCACCATCCAGCGCCACTACCGGGGCCACCGTGTGCGCAAGTCGCTGCCGCCGCAGGCGCCCATCTTCCGCCGCGGGGGCCCGCGGTCGAGGGCGGCGGCGGTGGGGCCGGCTGCGGTGGCCGCACCGGGCGTGCGCGATGAGCATTTTGGGCTGACGCCCGACCAACAAATGATGGGGAGGGTGCGGTTCGACCCGGGGACGAGCTTCGAGCCTCGACGGGTGGGTCCTCCTGCCGGGGATGGTACTTGGAGATGGGGAGGGCACACGTGGAGTAGTAAGCCACGTTGGGAACACGTCCGGGGCCACGTGACGGCGCTTGGACTGGGTTGGCTCGTTTGAGGTTTGCAGTCGCTTTGTCGTGCGTGGTAAGCCCGCAGCTTTTCGTTCCTTTCGGCGCTGAGGCTTAGACTTAACAGCCTCGCCCACAAGTCGGCTTACACGTTCCCACCTGCATTTCCTTCGATTGCCTCGGATTGCCAGGCGCTGCCCACCGTGCCCATCATCGACATCGACAGGATGCCCAAGTACGGCGTCCTGGTGCCGCCGCTGCCCCGCGCGGAGCGCCGCGCAGGTACCTTCATTGAGTACAATCGCGACACACACACCTTTGTTAAGAACCGTGACGTGTTGCGTGAGGCTCTGGAGCACCGGAGGGACTACTTGGAGCAACGGCCGCTGATTCAATGGGCGGAGTTCTCTGCCCGGCAGAAGCACCGCTATGCGCCCATTCCGCCGGACGCCAATCGCCGGGTGTTGCCGGAGACGCAGGGTAAGCAATGTATGTGTGTATATATATATATATATACATATGTGCGCATGTGTTGGACAGAGCAGTGTAGTTGCGTAGGATAAGAAAGGGAGGGGAGGTTGGGGTGTGGTTACTGGGGATGAGGGGAAGGACGAGCGCTTCAGTTCGTTAAGCAGCCTTTCAAAGCGTCCCTTGGCCCCCCTTTCTTCACGTCCCTTACCAGGCTACCGCCTGCGCATCCTTAAGGTCAGCGACATGCCCATCAACACAACCTTCGACGGCCGTACCTTTGAGTTCCAACTCGGCGTGTCTCTGTACGATGAGGCGTATGGCATTTTCTACGGCAACACGTGTTACAGCATGGCGGATACGTACGACCGGGGCCGCGCGGCGCAGCGCAACGCCATCGACCTGGACGTGTCTTTCGACGTGTATTACCACACGACGGTGTCTGACCCGCGTTGCATGGCGGTGGTTGAGGTGATCATGTTGGAGCGCATGCTGGACGGAGTGGTCAAGGGGCAGTACTCGCTGGGCTGGGCGCTGCTGCCGCTATTCAGGGTGAGGACCGGAGGAGGCGCGGGGGATGGGCCGGGCTACGTGAGAGGCGGGCTACGTGTGTCAGAGGAGTTGTGTGCAAGTGTGGTGGCGAGGGGTGATGGGGAGGGATTATTGCGCAGTGGTATGTAGGGGTGGTTTTGTGGAGTGAGAGTGAGTGGAGTTGAAGAGTCGTTGGTGTTGTGTACTGGACTATGGGAGGAGAGGGTGTAGTTCTTTTTGGCGGTGGGGGCGAGTTGTTCTAAGAGGGGTCGCGAGGACACGAGGCGGGGTCTTGTGGTGGTGTGCCAGCGTGAAGAGTGTAGTCTTGCTCTGTTTTAGAATAAGGGTGTAAGCTGTTGTGTGTTGTAGCATTCCACAGGAACGAACTAGAACCGGTAGCTGTGTCAATGCATCATCCCGCATGGCTTCAAACTAACCACTCCAGCCCTCTACCTTCCATTGCGTAGGGGGAACCCCCCCCCCCGAAGCGCTCCCCACTCCCGACCCCGTCCTCGTCCTCTCCATGCGTCTGTGCAGGTCTCCCAGAATCCTCTGCCTCCGGGATACCCCGCGGTGGGCGCCATGCAGCTGGATGATGTGCCGGGCCGCCCCATGGCTGCTCGCCTGATGGCGGGCACCCCCCGCTACCTGCTGTTCCGCAACGTGTACAATGAGGAGCTCAGGCCGCCCAAGGTCATACCCGACGCCACCATATTGTTCCAGGTATGTATGCACTGTGGTGAGGTGTGATGTGATGTGCGCGTCCTTGGTGGTGTTGCCCGTGTGCCGCGCTGTGCTGTGGCGCGTTGTTGACTCTGTCCAGGAGGTGTGGCACAACTGTGTGACCTGCAAAGAACACGGTGTCGCACGCACGTGTGCTGCACTGGTGTTGTGCGCGGCGTACAAAGTACAGCTCTCGAGCTGCCGAGCTGCCAGCGTTGAACTTTCGTAGATGACCGTGCCTGCCACGCTTGCATTTCACCTCTGGCTGCTGCAAGCGAATACTCCTCCGAGTTTCCACCCGTTGCAGCCCCACACGTCTCTCTCTTGACCTTTCCCGACCCCAACCTGCCATCGCACATCTTTGGTCGCGTTCGAAGCCCGTTCCTGCGCCCCCAAACGCACTCCCAGGCCGAGGTGTACCCCGCCATGGAGCCCTACATCCCCTTGCTCCCCGAGAACTTCCTGGTCACGTACAGCGACACCGTGCCGGGGCTGCGTCGCTTCGCCGCGTCCGGCCACCTATCCACCACCACCAAGACCGTCATCTCCTCCCTGGCTTCCCCCATGCTGAGCCCCACCTACTCGGTGATGCTGAGGCGGCTGCAGCTGGCGCTGCCCATGAGGGTGCATGACCTGCTCATGTCGCTGGATGCGAGGCATGGCATGGCGACGGGCTAGTGAGTGGGTGCAGGGGGGATGGATGAGTGGGCTGAGGAGGTGAGGGGAAGTTCCGGAGGAGGAGGGATGGCGGAGAGAGCGGAGAAGGGAGGTAAGGGGGGCACGAGGGGAGGCATAGCTGCCGGTTGGCGAGCGGGTGGGAGGCGGAAGGCTGTGTGGTGAAGGGGGGAAAGGCAGATGCTGAGGACGCAGAGTTTGATGGAGGGCATGGCCGAGGGGTTCCCTAGTGGGCAGGGTGAAGAGGGTGGGAGGGAAGGCCGTTAAAGGCAGAGTGCACGAACGATAGCGGATGGAATGGACGAATCCATTTTTAGACACGTGCACCAGTCGCACCATTAACTCGGCCTGGCCAAGACGTGGCATCACCTAGCAGCCAACCCACGCCGCTTCTACCTACTGCCTCCTCCAGCCAACCCCTCCTCCCCCCGCGTTCCCCCTCCGAACCCCCACTTTATCTCCCGTCCCCCTCCGTACACACACATACACACACGCGTCCTCAGCGTGCCGCCTCCCGGCACCACCGCGGCGCAGTCTCCCATCTACCAGTCTCCCTCCACCGGCTCCCTCACCTACACCATCCGCGTGTCGGTTCACAACGGCCGTACCTTCGTGGGCCCCGCCTACGAGCTGAACGACTTGACCCACCTGGACGTACCGGGCTGGAAGGTGCTGCAGGTGCCCACCCCGCACCCGGTGTTCGATTACGTGATGGCGGATGTGCTGGTGACCATTGTAGTGGAGCTGCTGGCGACACCACCGCAGGTAGGGCGGGGGGAAGGGCCGGGAAACGGGCCGGGAAGTGGGTTTGGGGGGGACGAGGAGGAGGACGTGGGTGTACAACCAAAACAAAGCCCCACTTTCCATTATGAACGTCTGTATATTATTTTGTTACCTCGCCTCGCGTGTGTTACTTCGCTGCTATCCTGCCGTTGCGTTGCATGGCCACGTCATCCCCACCCCTTTCCTCCTCCCTTCTACACAGGCGCCACCACCGCCAGGTTTAGCACCTCTACAATATCTGATCGGCTACACATCTTTCGTGCCCTTCTCCGACATTCGCGAGGACGGCAGCTCAGCCCACGTGGCTGTGGGGGTGCACCGCTACCAGCTCAGGCCACCCGTGCCGCTGTTGCTCCGAGACCAGCCGCCACTCAACTGGAGGGCCATGCTGGGAGACATGCTGAGCATGGATGTGCCGGAGCCGTTGGTGGAGTTCCAGCTGTTCGAGACGGGTGGGTGAGGGTGTGGAGAGTGCGTGCGGACGGCCGTGTGCGTGCATGTGGCGCGTGTATGCGTACAACTCTCCCGTCCCATCCTGACCCCCACCTGCAACGCGTCAGGCGCCACTCACCCCACCTCCCAACCGCCCTCACCGTTTCCCCGGCAGCCCGCACACCCATCTTGCCGCCCCTGAAGAAGGTCTTTGCGGTAATCGAAGCTCAGCGCGAGGAGGAGGCCCAGATGGGCGACCAGCCCCTGGAGCAGCTGCTACAGCCTGTTCCAGTACCCGGGCAGATACAGCCACCCCCCGAGGTCAACGAGGTGGACCCACATGCGCGGGAGTCGCCCCCGCTGCCACTTCAGCCGGCGTTCGGGATGGAGGAGGCGGGCCTGGAGCGAGTTCCCTCGGGGGATGTGATAATTCAGAGCAGGAGAAGCTTGGGTGGGTGTGTTGAACTGTATGGTGGATAGGCTTGGTGGCGTGCAATGGTCCTACGGGGAAGGGGTTGGGGAATGGAATGAGAAGGGGTGGTGGTGGTGGTGGGTTAAGAACGGATTAGAATGTGCGGGGCCCGCATTTGCGATACAGGTGACGGGGCTAGTAACTAACCAACTCCCACATCTTTCCCACCACATGCTTTCACCCTCTGGAGCCCCTGGCTAGATCCTTCTCGAAATTAAGATCCCACTCCCCAACCTCCATGGCCCTTCCCTTCACTCCTCATCCCCCCTCCTCCTCTCCCTTTCTCATGGTCCCTCCCTGTTTTTCTTACCTTCCACTGGCAGCTAGCCCTTCTCCTCGTTTACTCTGCTCACAACTCTCTCCTTCGGCAGTGGGCTCTTTGCTGCTTCCATATTTGCATATGATTTCCCCCCTTTCATGGCCCCCTCCCACTTCCAGGTTCCAACCGGGATTACGTGCTCCCCCCCGAGCTGACCGAGCTGACTGCCGCCATGCAGCGACAACTGGAGCTACTCACCCGGGCTGTGGACGAACTCAAGGACGTAAGTCAGCCAGCTGTGGTCTCCCACCAGTTCCGCCACCATTCCATCCTGCCCAACCTACCTTGCACCCGCCTTCCATCCTGTCTCTCCTCCCAGCGGCCTATCCGTTCGTATGGCTGTTCGCTGTTCGCTAAGCTGTCTTTCTGTCCGTCTGTCGGTTTATCTGTCAACGTGCGGCTGTGTCCGCAGGAGCGCAAGTCCTTGCGGAACTCCCTCCTGACGCTCACGGACCGCCAGGGACTGCCGGACGACGTCAACCCCCGCGACAACGCCGCAGCGGCGGTGCAGCGCTATTACGATGCACAGCGAGATAGGAGGGGCACCGGAGCACAGGTGCGTGCGTATGTATGTGTGTGCGTGTGTTTCGCAAAGGCCAAGTGACCATTGCGGTCAGGCGATAGTCAAAAAGGCCCCATGGGCAGTTTAAGGGAGGATTTTTGGGGGGAAAGGAGAAGAAGTTAATTAGTACTCTTTTCCCCCCTCGGACGAGCTAACAAGAAGTGAGCGGATGGCAAGCGAACGAGGAGTGAGCCAAGGTGTGACAAAAGCAAGCAAGGAGTAAGGCGTGTATGCGTGGCAGAGAGTGGGCGCGTGGCGCTGAGAAAGCAAACGTGCCCACGCCCACGCCAAGGCCTTACTGCTGCCAGTCCGCGTGTCCGGAGCAACGGCACTCTCCCACTTTGCAACTTGCCTGGGCGCCACATATACCATTCTTTGGCCAAATGCCTGCGTCGCGCCTCCGCTAGCGTGCTTCCTTTATCATGCCTCTGCCCAACCAGCGTGCATTAGTCCCTCCCGTGGTCGTAGTCCTGACTCTCCTCTCTCTCCACCTCCCCTCCCTCCTCCTTCCCCTCCCACTCCCTCCCCCCCCCAGCCTACCCCCGAGGAGCTTAAGCGCTTCTTGGACATGGAGCCCACTCGCAACTTCGGGGATCAGGCCATGTTCAGCGGGGCTCAGGCACCAGACGGCAAGATGCCCGGGTCAGCACCCTCCAGGGTGCTGCTGCAGCAGCTGCACGACGCGGGTAAGGCAGTAGCGGCCGGGGGCCCAGACCAGGTCAGGGGAGAGGAGGGGTGTGTTGGGAAGGGGGCCAAACCTGCTCTCCGGAAGGGTTGGAGCTCCGAGGGGGATGGGGCAAGCGGGCGCGGCGCTGGCATCATCCGTGTTATACCGTCATCTGATCGTGCACGAAGCGCCAGACCAACTGTAACAAGGGAGTTGTCATTCACCATTCATTTTGCTTACTATTCGTGTTAAAACATTAGAGCTCTGGGACCCGCACGCGCACATCGCAACTCCACCGCAGTATGCTTACTGACTTGCCATGGCTCCACCGTGCAGGCATGCTCGACGCGCTGCCGGGCGACGTCCAGGCCATCCTGCGCCGCCGCGGCCCGCCGCCGCGCGGCCCCTCCGCCATGCCGTACGACCTTGCCATCGAGGCCCGGGACCCACGGGTCGCCTCCGACATCGTACTGCAGTTCCTGGCGTACCGGCATCACGACACGCTCAACGCGCCGGTCAACCTCAAATCGCTCTACCTTACCTTCCAGTTCTATCACTTCCCGCCTACCACCAGCGAAATGGGTTTTCTGGTGCCGGTTCGGTTGGAAGACGACGCAGTGGATTCGACCAGCGTTATTGTACCGGCGGATCCGGCGAAGAAGGGCGCGGGGCTGGTGCTTAAGTTTGAGGTGGACGGCGGCGCGGAGCCAGTGCCGTCGGGGCAGACGGCGCAGCAGGCGGGCTTTGAAGCGGCCATGGCGTTTGCGCAGTACCTGGCGCATAAGACGTTGCACCTGGATGTGTGGGACGGGGAGTCGTTGTTGCAGGTACGTGGGCTTACGAGCTCTGTGTTGGGAAGGGAATCTTGCTTGCGTCAATTGCTTGGTGGAGGTGGAGGTGCAGGGGTAAGGACGTGTGAGAAATGGGTCGGTTGTTGATTTAAGCGGTTGGATGTTTGTCTGTTTGGTTGGTTGCTGGCTTATATACACATGTGGATACACATGTTATCTCCAGATGTACACGCAACACAGTTGCTGGCCTTTACTTCAAAGGCCCTGCCTTGAGTCCGCGGATTTTCCTTCCAAGCACCCATCCTCCTCCAAATTTAGACTCTAGGGTTTTACACTCCCCCCCTTCCCCCTCCCGTATCCCCCCCTCCCACTTCCCTCCCCACAAACAGATCGGCACTGCGTCAGTCGACCTGCAGTCCCTACTCCGTCAGGGTCGGGACTTCTCCGAGCTGCTGGTGGAGGTGCCTATTTTGGATCAGGCGGCAGTGGCACCCTCCCTGCAGGGTCAGAGCTTCGCTGAAGCAGCTTACAACCCAAACACAGGTGGGTGCCCGGGCTGGCGGAAGAGTCCCTGGGCCGGGGTCTGTATAATCCTTCCTGGAATTTTTCCTTGTGGGGTTCGAAACTTCGAAACCTGGTTGAAAGACATGTTGAAAGCACTTATAAGTATCCAACCACGTACTGCCACCTTCCGCAGTCTGCCTTTTCTACGACCCTGCCCCAGCCCACCCTAGCCCACCCCACCCGCATACGCATACGCATACGCAAATTTTGACAATCAATAGAACGTGAAAACCAAATACGCATGCCAACAAACACCGTCACATCCCCACTCCCCCAACCCCAGGTCAGAACGACTCCAAGGCTACCGTCATCTCCCGGGGCTCGATTGTGCTGCGGGCTCTCAACCTGGGCCGGGACTCCCGCAACTCGGACGCCAAGCTGCCCGAGTTCGACGACGCACACAACCGGCCCAACAAGAAGAGGGTGCGGGCCAAGCCCGCCTGGGAGATACCGCAGTCACCCATCGCCAGGGAGCTGGCGGCGGGTCCGGGTGGGTGCATGGGTGTATATGGGGGCCCGGCCCTGGGTGGCTATGGGTGAGTGGGCCGTAAACCTGTAATTGGTTTGGGTACGGGCAAATGGGCGAATGGAATATATTGGATGGGTGGATCGGCAACGGACTAATACTTTTACGACGGACCAGGCGATGCGCTGCCCGCGTGCAACGAACCCTGCTTCGCTTTGACTTACCTCGCTTTATTTTGGCGCTTCGATTCATTTCGGAATTTGTTTTTGAAGCGGCTGGCTTCGTGTTTTTGCGCGCCGCGTCTGTCTACGTGTCTTTCCGCCGCAGCGGCCGGCATGGCAGCATCCCCCGGAGGCGGCGGGTCCGCGGCGTTCGTTGCCGCCCCCTTCGGTGCACCGGTGGGTCCGGGCCTGGCCCCTCCTTATGAGGACATGAAGCTGCGCATCCTGGAGAACAGTCACCGCAAGAGCGCACGAGTGCAGCAGTACCTGAAGCTGGAGGACGTGGACGTGACCGGCGGGGTAAGGGTTGGGAGTTTGTTTGGTTGACTTGCTGGCGGACGGACGGCTGGGCTGGCGGACAGGCCCATGAGCGGAAGTAACTTGAAAACGGGACGGGTTGGAGCAGCGGGGGAGTTGGGGATGGATCCAGAAGAGAAGACAGCGAGAAATAGGTGTAGCCATGGGGGGGATTGGGCGGAGTGGCAGAGAGCTGGGGTGGGGCACCTCTGGTGTTCTGAACAACGGCAATGAAGTGGACCCAGATCGACATCGCACTTGTTGAGAGGTGATCTTAGCAATCAGGACTGAACGACACACCTCGTCGTCGCATATCCACTGCGGTAATTGTACACAGCGACGCATTGCCACGATAATTGCACTACGGTAATCCTTAGGGTTGTTACCGTACCTTACCGTACTCCGCAATAGACCGTTCATGGTTCACGGTTCGCTCACACCTCTTCCCAGGGCTACGGTACCTGTATCTGATCCCAGGCCTGAGCTGTAGTGAGAGGCCACTTGGTGAATCAATGACGTTGCAGTGAATCACAGAATGCTGTGCGTGGCCACCCATGCTGCTCTCTCTCTCCCTCTCTCTCTATCTGTCGCAGGGTGTTCGTCAGTCGGGGTACTCCGCTGGTCGGGAGGATCAGTTCCGGAGGGTCCAAAAGCAGCTCCTGGCGGACGTAACGGCGGCGCGAGGTCGCCGCAAACATGAGTTCATCTTAGAGCAGCTGCGCAAGAGCATGGTTACAAGGCGCGTGGTACGGCCGGCGTACGGAGAGGTGCTGGTGTACGAGCACGAGTTTCAAAATCCGTACAGCCATGAGCAGGTGAGTACGGGTGCCGTGCGAGTTGGGTTAAGTGGGGAGGTGCAGGGGGAGGGAGGGGACGAGGGACAGGGATGGAATGGGGCCCTGGTAAAGTGCATTCGGGGACCCGGTGGGCCCTCCGGCCCTCTGCAAGACAGAACTGCGGCAGCGTCACAGCGCGTTGCGTTTTCCCGTTGCATGTGCCTTGGATGCGTAAGAGGGGCGCAGGCGACGTTTGCTGCTGCTGGTGTGTGTGACCCGTGTCCTTGCGAGCATCATATGCACCGTGTACCCCTCTCCTCCCATCCTCCCCTGGATACCCTACCGCAACCCACGTAAGCCAAAAGCACCCCTACCCCTACCCCTGCCCAACCCAACCATATCTTCCTTCACTGCTACCTTTGAATTTTACCAATGCCAAATACATTCCACCCACCGTCTTCACCGTCCACCCCAGCGTCCCTCTTGATTAACCTGCTAACTAACCTGCTTATTCAGACGTTCGAGTTGCGCATCAGCAAGCCCACGGAGGTGTCGGTGCTCTCCCGGATGGAGGACTACCGGGCTCTGAGGGCCGCCAATGCCAGGTTCCTGGGTACCGTGTCGCAACCGGTGGGGCCGCTGGAGCAGGAGATTATGAGCGGGAACAGGATATACTTGCAGGTGGGGAAGAGAGGCGTGTGTGTGTGGGGGTGGGCGGAGTGAACAGGGCAGAACCGGCGGGCTTGCGTGTGCTGTATGGTTGGGGGCAGGTGCTTGGTCGAAAACTACCAACTACAACGCTCTTGCTGCTTGTATGCCGATCGCGCTCCGGTACTACCACCTCCGTATGTCTCGAAATGGAAAGGACGCCGAACAGGAAAGGTCGGAAGGAAGTGTACAGTAGGGGAAGTGTACAGCGATGCATAACGCTGCGATTGGACTGACCTTCATCCTGTGCCGGGGCCCCATCTTGTGTTCTCGCCCCTCTCTTGTACCCTGTCCTGGCCATGTCTGCCCTCTGCTGCCCGCCTCCCCATCCGAAGTCGCCGCTTCCTCTGTGCCTCATTCCTTCCATTGCCTTCCCCAGGTCCCTGCCCGCCACCGTTACATATACGCGTCGGGTCCATGTTGTAATGAAGGAAATCCGGTTTCCTGCTGAAATCGCTTTCGGGACCGTTTTCTTCATGTAAACAACAACTCCCTTTAATACCCGAAACGAATCCACGCAGGCACACGAGCGCATCACGCTACCGTTCCGGCTGCAGTCCTTCGAGCCCCCGGATGGATACAAGAGCAGCGTCCTGACGGGTGAGCCGCAGCCCCTTCACCACTCGCTGGCGGCAAAGGTGCGAAGCTCGGCAGCTGCGGCTAGCCGCGGCAGTCCAGCGCGACCGGGTGCTGGCGGTGCCGCCACCGCTGCCAGCCCGGGCCTCCCCTCGGGTCATACAGTGGCCATCGAAATGATCAGCACCAAGGACGATGTGCCTGTATCGGTTTTGGAGCTGGAGGTGGTGCCCCGACCCATCATCATCGACCGCACCTTCAGGTGTGGTATGAAGTCTGTGTAAAGGACGGGGAGGAAGCGATGCGATGCAACACAGCGTGATTTCACATGAAGCGACGCGACGTGGCGTGGCGTCGTGCCATGCCAGGTTCGCATCGCTTGGCTTGGCCTACTCCTACCCTATCCAGGTCCCCTCGCGGTCAGCAGCTGCGTTGCTGTGGTGAGGTGCTGTTACTGTTAGCCAACTCCCCCACTCCCTCTTTCTTCTGCTGCTTTCTCGCTATCGGCTGCAACAGCACGTAACACCGTCCCCACCCATGTCCTCCGGCCACCACCCCAACATCGATTCCCCCACCTCCCCCACCTCCTTCATCCAATCCCACTCAGGTACTACCAGCCCGAGCAGCAGCTGCTGCGCACCACCGTCAAGCTGCGCAACCTGCCGGGGGCTCAGGCCTCCTACCTGGCCGCGGCACCTGGCGCCCTCCGTCACGTGTGTGCCGCCTGCAGCAACCCGGACGTCATTCTGGGGGTGGGCAGTAGTGCCCTCACGGGGGGCCCTGATCGAGATGAGCTCTACATCAAATACAAGGTGGGTATTGTGAATTATTAGTGCTAGGAGGACCATTGAGGAGTTTTAGGATTCTTGCTGGGTCTCTCTCCTACTAGGGCTTTCGATCCCTGAGTTTGAGGGCGATTTGACGAGATTTCTGTGCTGATACAATCCATGCTGTGCATTCCATGCCGAGCGTTTCCGAGGATTATGTTCGTTTTACATCACTTTGACGCGCTCCCCCTCAAGGGCACCATTGCCTGGCCTCCCCTCTGCAGGCGATAAAAACATCTTGCCCTGACTTCGCGTCGCAGCTTTATCTTTTCTTTTGGCGTATCCCTTGCTTGTCCCGTTCTTTCCTCCCTTGTTCCGAAACATCTATGGTAATACCGACATAACATCAACAACTACCAACAAACGGACGACAACGCCCCAAGGTCGGCGCCGCCCCAGAAGTGGCCCACTTCTACGTACTGCTCTACCTGGACCGTCTCATGGCTCGACCGGTGGAGGTGTGGCAGGTGTTCGTGCACTCCCTGCGCAAGGTGGACATGCGCGCCATGATCGGACAGACCAGCCAGGCCAGTGTGGTGGTGAGGGGCGTCATATCGCGCCGAGTGGCGGCCTACAACACGCATCCTGACGAGCTGCAGGTGCGGGGAAGACTGCGTGGGTTGTGCGGACTGGTGCCCCTGCGGAGCCCGTGGGTGTGTAGGCGGTGAATTGCTGACTGTCTGACTGACGGGTAGCGCTCATCTGCCCTTCGGCCTATGGCTTTACCTGGTTGCTCCCTTACATCCCTTTCATGAATTGCAAACCTGCCTGACTCGCTTTAAAACCCGAACCCCAAACCTCAGCCTCTTGTTTAAACCTATACCCAGACTTAAGGTAAACTCCTGACGTGTCAGCCGTTGTTAACCCCATGCTTTCCCTCTTCCGGATCCTGCAGGTGTCCCCGGATTCGTTCGTTTTGGTGGGTGGCGCTCTCACTGAGCTGCTGCTGAGCTTCAGACCGGTGGCCGTGGGTCTGAAGGACATCAAGATCAACATCGTAGACAACGAGTCCCGGGAGCTGGTGTACGCGCTGCTGGTCAGCGCGGAGGCACAGGGACCGCTCATCACCAGGTGGTTGGGTGGGAAGGCTCTTTCCCTAAGGAAGAAGATTTGTTTGAACTCTCAGCACCCCCAACAATGCTCCGCGCACTTATCCGGATGCGGACAAATTTCACGGCGCCGTCTACCTATACCGTACACACCAGGGATACCACCGTACATTGTAAACTTGTAACCATCACCGCGGTTTTAAAATGCATCCGCAGGACCTTTGAAGTGGAGCTTCCAGTGGGGACCGTGGCCAACAAGAAGATCACCTACACCAATCCATATGCGCACTACCGCGTCTTCACGCTGCGTTCCAACCAGCCCTGGCTCGTGCATTTCACGCCACCACGGCTGCAAATGCCCGCCGGCGCCACACGGCCGGTGGGCCTGACGTTTGACGCGCGCGCTGCCACCACAGGCATTGTAGACGTGCTCGTGTTTGTAAACGATGACGAGGACAAGACGGAGGAGTGCCTTAAAGTCCGGGTGCGAATTTACAAGTGAAGATGATGACATGATGGGTTCTGTACGGCGCTGAGGGAGGGGAACGGGTTGCTGACGAGAGGAGAGGATTTGCGTGAAAAACACCTCCAGCCACACGCTAGGGGAATGCTTTGCACATATGGTTGGGCCGGGTAAGAGATGCACTGCGTTTCTCACGGCTGGATGTGACTTGGTTGATGGTGTGCGGCGGCGGTCATTGAGGATGTTGTCGACTTTCCTGTGGGAGCTGATGAACAGTACTGAACCAGGTTAGCTTCCCAGCTGCCATGTTGGGTGACTTTGGCAGCCTGTGTGCGTGGATGCACCCCCGTTTGGAGGAATAGCCGCCTCCGTCGTCGTCGTCGTCGAAGGAGACGTGAATGCGGGAGGAGCTTCACCGGCTGCTGGTTCCCTTCCGTCTCCACATCCTGCGACTTGGTGTGCGCTGACTGACTGAGCTGACCGAGTTGACGTTATTCCGAAGAACCTGGTGTGTGACCGACCGATAATGTGCAGGGCACAGTGCTACAGTCTATAAGTGCAGTCATAAGAGCCAAGTTATAGGGGTGTAAAATACTAAGTACGCGCAAGATTGCGAACGCTGAGTTTCCGCTTCAAGCGCATGTACAACAGGCATACATGCGTGTTTAAAAATACGCATATGTGCACAGCTACAGACAAAAACACACAGGCGGGGTTTGCACTGAGGACCGTTCGTGTCCACTGTAACCCGTACGAATCACTAAAACCACACATCCAGAACGCGACGAGCAGCGCGACCAGCATACTTTGCATAAATTTATAGCCCAGCGGATTCAGAAAATGGTGAAAAGCAACAATAGGGGCAGGCGGCTGGCAGAGGTTAAGGCCTGGCTTCTGCTCCCGTCGCGTCCCAGCGCGTCCGGGTTCAAATCCGCCTGCCGACCTCTCGGGGTGTTTGAGAGGTGATGAAATGGGAGGTGGCCCCCCATCTTGTGGACGGTGTAGGACGTGATAAAATCAACTCGCGAGCTGACCAGGAACTAAGTTGACGCGCCGTTGATCCGCTAGATTTGGTTGGATGCTGGTGGTGAGCTGCCAAACTCAAAGAGTACACTCTGAAGTCGGATGGGGTGAATGGCTTAGGGTGCCCCTCTAGCAGGGGAGAGCAGGGAACTGCCTCGGGAAGGAGGCCACTGGTGAAGCTTAACCACCCTGTAACAACATCAACATCAACAATAACCGGTGCTACCGCAGCCCCCCAACCTAATCCAGCACCCCTAGGGGGAATTGTCGGTACAAAACATATTCGTCAATTGTTTCTCGCTCTCGCTCCCTCAGATGTGTGAAACAGGGGGGTATATCTTCACCCGTGGCAGCTACCCTGCGAAACCCTGCCCTCCCCGGTATTTCGGGGCACCCTCATCCAGTCACCCTAGTTAACATCTCAGTGGATCACTCAGGTTCCGCACCCACCACCAGCATCCAACGGAATCTACCGGGTCGACAGCGGCCCAACTCCATTCCTGGCCGGCTCGCAGGTTAACTTTATCCCAGGTCACCACCGTCCATCAACTAGGGGCGCAATACCTTCCACCATCCGAAGGATTTTCGACCCTGACAGGTCTCCATCCCGGGATCTACCAGGCGCAATGGTCGCGCGATGGCAGTAGTGCTTTAACTTGTGTAGTGCCTAACCCTCAGATGTTAGGTGGGCGGCGCATGAGCTTGACCAAGCCCTCTGGTGATATCATTCCGCTAAGCAGGTAAAGATGAACGCGTGGCCAACCGCAAAGTAGGCAAGACGAAACTTCCAACGTCAACGAGGACAGCCATCAGGAGGGACTCAGATTCTCTACATAACCCCTGTGACATTTCGCTTTATTCACCGCCTTTCATTCGTCAAGTAACGTTAAACAAGAGAGAGGTGTACAACGCAGGGAAAAGGACGGCAACGTCCGAAGTCCAAGAGCAGTCAGCATCGGGAAACGGGCTGCCTGCCTTCCTGGCCCCTTGCCACGAATAAGGGGGCAGACATACATAACTCACTTCCCATTTGCGTAGCAACAGGTATATGCCTGCACGCATTCGTGGCACTATACAATTCTTCGCATTACCGTCCACCACCACCATCATCGCCACGGACACTACTCCCTCCTAGTTGCCCCTTTTTCCTCTCCCCGGAGCTCTCCCTCCCTCCCGACGCAGCATGCGCGGTCACAACCACGCTTTGCATTCACAACGGTCCAAAAATCGGTCTGGCACACGAACACTGTCCGTGCACACATGAATGAGGACACACAACAAAGGGCGGGCAAGGTTTTGTGCGTGTGTGTGTATGAAATAGAGCCAGAGTGGGACAAGTTAAGAGACCGACCTGGGGTTCAAGGCATGATATGTACTGCCGCCGCGCGAAGAAAGCCCGTTGGGGCGCACGCGCCTCCCTTCCCCCCCAAAGCCGGATGCGGCACCTGTGACTAAATGGCGGGTGCTTCCTCTTCAACGCGTTAGAGGCACGTCACGTCATCAAGATGCTGCTGACCGTATGCAGCCAAAGCATACTCAAGTTCACAGACAGTCACTTCACGGATGCTATCCGAACGTGATTGCATGCATCGGATTGTACAAATGGTATGGCTACGTATTCATACCGACGCGCGTGCGTAAAGTGATCAGTGTACGGTGTAAAAATGGCGACATGGCCTGAACGCGGTCAGCGTCCTTACGACTCCCGTACATACGGACTAGGATTCTTACTACAACGGCAAGACAAGATGCCGGCAGCACCTAGGGTAATCGTTTCAACCTCAGGGCTAACGCCACAATGCGCTGTAAAGACAGGAGAAAAGTATCGTACACTGCAGTACAAGTACGGCAATCTAAGGGTGCATGGTCGGCACCCGGTGGCTTTAACGAAAAACACTTTCCCAGTGCAGACCAACAGCGCAAAAGACCCATGCTGGTGCTACAAGGTCGCGCTCGGTGCAGCAAACACAGTGATCACGAGCAAACCCTCACAAGCACGATATCCCGTTAGCAGTATCCTGTACTTAAATCCACGCGGACGCGCAGACACAATTAATTTTCAAGGGAATCCATGCGTACACACTATTAGGACTTCAGGGATGCCTCCACCTACGACGTCAACAGCCAAACAGACCACCACTCGCGAATCGCGCGTCAGTTGAACCAGCACCAGACGGAAATCGAGGCCATCGGGATGCCGATGACCCAATCAATCCAGTAATCTTCAAAAACAGCGGCGGTGAGCACCAGCACGCAACAAACACACTGACGAGCGGGCGGAGGCCCAGCTGGGGCCAAAACTTCGCAGCCCATCGCCCAAAGAAGGCACCGGCGGCAAAGGGGACACACACACACACACAGGACGCGCAAACAGACGCACATCTCCTCTTTTTCCCCTCTTTTCTTCTTGTGATTTGTTTCCGAATTCACCGGGGTACGCACCGGGGGGAACGGATGGACATCGACACAGACTCAATCTCTCCATTCCCTGCGAAGGGTCTCGAAATGGAGATCCCCTCCTTGGAGACCACCTCATGGAGGGCCGTCATGTCGGGAGTGCACCCACATCCACATACATACGCACGTCGCGCACAAAAGTGCGCACCGAACTCCTCAGCGCTCCAGCAGACGACATGTCCCTCATGTCCAGGACTCTCGACCAGATCCTGGGGCCCCGGCCCGAGCCCGTTGAGGGCTCCGGCAAGAAGCCACACCGCCACAAGATGGCTTTATATACCGACGGACGACATCAATATAAACATACATGCGTCGCAGGATTCACGCTAGCTGTTTTGCTCCCTTTGCCCACAACATCATTTTTTCACAACATCATTTACAACACGTCTTCAACGTTCTCCCGCGACTCGCCAACTCGCCGTCACTGAACATCCATCGCCTCGTAGACCCACAAAGGCACATTCCTAGCGGGCTCTAACCCCGGTGAATACTTTGCAACCAGGGACCCCAACAAGAGCTGTAGTTATAACCGCGCGGTGGTAAAGCGAACGAAGGCACGTCATGATAACAATTGTCAAGTCAGGAAATCAACCAAATGATTTGAAGATTGCGGACGACGGAAATCCTTAGGTAGATTCGCAAGCTCTATACACGAATTTTGAGGGTTGCGTTCGGTTTCCCCCTGTATCACAACTGTTCACCGACGCCAACGCTGCGGGCGGCTGTGTCCCGGTTCCAGGCGACCAATGCTCCGGAGCCGCACTGTCAGAAGGCCTCCTGCTCCGCTTCCTCATCCCCGCGAATGCTACGCTGCACCGCAACCGCCTGTGTACGCGCCTCCGTACAATTGTACGACGAGATCTGCCGAGGCGGGAACAGCTCCGGCGGTGCCTCCGGGGCTGCACCGCCGCCGTGGTCTCCACCTCCGCTACCGGCAGCGACGCCTGCATCGCTGCCTGCACCGCCGCTGCCGATGGAATGATTAGTCCGGTTAAGAAATAGCCGAGGCGGTGAAACCTGCGGCGGCTGTCCATCACTCACTCGCCCAGAGCCCGGACCCGGGGAACCCCCACGGCCGGCACCGCCTCCGCTGCCGTGACTCATCAGCGTCACAACATGGCCCCCGTTGTTAGCTGCGCCGCCACCGCCGCTAGAGCTTGCTGCCGTCCCGGCGCCTGTTGCAGCAACAGCAGCAGCACCGCCACTGCCGCAAACGGGCAGTGACCTCATCGACAAGGACTTGAGCTCCCCACGAAGCTGCTCCAGTACGGCATGAGTTTGGTTCTGGAGGCCCCCCTCACACGGCGATAGGGAGCCGCCGGGGCCCCCGAAATGCCCTGCGTGTCCGTAGCTCCCGCCGCGTTGACGATCGCGAAACGAAGTGGAGCCAGCTCCGTAATGTTGCTGTTGCTGCAGTTGGTAATTTTGCTGTAGGAGTCCGAAATTAACAAGTTCATCACCCTCGGACGAACGTGAAGCCAGGCGAGCCGGCGGGGAGATGCCTCCCACCCGTGACAGCGCCAAAACTGTCGACGATGTTGGCGTTAACGACGGCGGCGATGAGGCCCCTGGAGGACTCCGCATCGTGAAGGCGGAGTGGCGGCGGGAGGGCGCGCTGCGGGCCTGCAGCAGGGACGAAACAGGGCTGTGGCCACCACCGTCCGTCTGGGATCCCGCTGCAGCCACCGTGGCGGCGGCGGCGGCGGCAGCGGCAGCAGCATCCGCGTTTATTGGCGGGCCGATCACCTCGTCATCGTCCAGACCTGCCGGAGAGGGTGAAAAACATAAATGAGGGTTGGGTTTGTGAAGGATGTGCGCTCTGGGTTTCGCGCATCTTGTTGAATATATACATACATACGTAAACATCCGACCCAGATGGCGGTTTCGGAGACCATCAACGCGGGGGAAGGACAGATTGCGACGAGCTAGCGGATCATGTTACCGCAGCAGCACATCCAGGGCATTCAGGAGAGTGGCGGTAGCGTCGTGGTGGCTGCTGCCTCACAGCCGCCGGCCCCGCCACCGCAGCCACCGGTAAGAGTTGCAGACGCAGCGGACGACCCACCTGGCCCACCCGACTCGGATCCCGTAATTGAAGACGCGTAACCCATGTTATAATCCAGGTTGCCAAAATAGGAGTTGCCCGCGCTCAGGGTGGGTTGTCGGGCCGATGTGGGTCGCGACATGGCTGGCAGGGTCGGGGCCCCGTCTCCCTGCCCGGTGGCTCCAGGGGATCCCCCTCCGGGCAGCGAGCGGCGAAAGTCAATAAAGTGGTTGCAGCGGGCGGAAAAGCTGTTGGTACTGCTAAGGCCGCCGCCGCCGCCGGCGCGAAGGGCGGGCGAGAGCACCAACGCCGACGTGGTCACAGGTGCGGCGTTACCGGTGTGGCTGCCGCTGGCGGAATCGAGTGTTGGCGATCCTCCGCTCCGTCGGAATGAGGGCATGGAGAGTAGGGGGTCCTCGAACCTTGTAGGGGTGGTCTGAGAGATGGCCGGGGGGGGACGGGCGAGGAAGGAGTCAAATTGCGGGAGAGGTGTGCGTCCGAAAGTGGATTAGTAAAGCAGTGAGCTGGGGGAGGTGAGTTGTGAGAGGAGATGAGGGATGAATGAACGGAAAACGGTGGGGCTGGGGGGCCCGATGTGGCTACGCGTTGTAGCCTGTAGGGCGACGTAATGCAAATGCAGGGAAGCCTGTTCTATCCGTGCAAGGCAGGACGTGAGAATAAAGGTGGCCGCAGTAGGGGTGGGGGTAGGTCCCAATTATGAGGCCAACAGGGATACATTTGGCCGCCACCGCTCGCACCATAGATACTCGGAAAAACCAGCATGAGTTATAACCGTACTTTGAGTTTGAACCTACACACATGGCTAGAGGTGTGTCACAGATCGCGGTCCTTGACCGGCAGTCCGGGCGCCCGAACACGCTGATCAAAAAAACGCGGCTTCACAAGTCGAATGTAACAACGTAAAGTCATATACGCCGTCAGGCACAGGGGTTCATAAGTTTGACCCGCTTTGCCGTGTACTTGCATTCACAGAGACGCAAGCACGCGGGACTCCTTTTCGATGCCGGCCCATGCACCAGCAAACTCCTTACAGGTTTGGGGCTGCCTAAGCTTGAGCCTCCGGAGGGTTGGGAAGCCAATAGTGGTTGCGTCGTGCGCGGCGAATTCGACGACCACAGCTCCCCATTAGCTGCAAGGCTGGAAAGGCGCCGGTTGGGACTCCAGATATTTCTGTCCAGTAGGTCATCGTTTGTGTTCAAAGGAGAAGGGGCCTTGAAGCTCGAGCGTCGTCCGGCATCCGCGCTATTTACAGGTTCTTTTTCTGTATCAAGGATTTGCCCAGCTAAGTTGTGCATGGTGGTTGGTGCTTCCGTCGCTTTGCCCTCAGTTACGAGATGCCGAAGAGGTTGCGGTCAAGCGGCCATTGCTGTCCAACATATAAACGCAATGACGATGCTGCAAACATCTTGGAGATTGGTATTTTATATCCATGGGATAAATACTCCGTCCGCCACGTTCGGCTGTCATGAAACATGTGGAATGCGCTTTGGTATCCGTCCAAGTCCGCGGGTTCGTTATGTACGAGGATACCAGACGCAGGCTTACCCAGCACACGGTTTCAGGGCAATCGGAGTTAGAAATTGCTCATAAGCTGAGTAATATTGCATTTGAGATTGAAGCTTGAAGATTTGCAATGATTTTTGTCAACTAGGTTTATCATCCCAGCGTTGTTCTCAGTAACCATTTAGGGCTGGCCTCGCTAACTGAAATCTTGGTCCGCCGTAATTGTATCCTGCAATCCTACTTTCTGACAACTTGCAAAGGTTAAAACGGAGCTTCCACGGTTGCGCGAGCCTGTAATTTTGTTGACCATTGGGATCCCTCCGGCCTCCAAACTGGGCACTGGTGACTGGGTACTGGTTATCCACAGGGTTTGCACCCGAAGCCATTTTCCTCCTTGCGAAGTCGCTTCGAAGATGCACGTCGGCATCTATTCTCTGCTCCTTGCTCTGGATTGTTCCTGTTCCGAGCACATGTGTTTCACGCTTTTATATATCACGGCTACCACTTTCTCTAACATGATGGCATGTCGGTGGTTTCGGTGTACGTGCGGGGCCGTGGGGCTGCCGCCCCACTCCCCTACACTCTCTCCTGTCCCCTGTTCCAAATTTCCGGAAATTCTTAGAATATGAGCTGGCTTTTCATACTGGCAGGTATTGGATCAGCACGACACTGACTGACTTACTGACAGACAGGAATGAACCTTGGCCCCCGCCCAATAAGCGTTGTATCGCTAAGGTAGCGTTCATTGCCCGGTAGCTATAACCCTGTACCAGTTACAAAGCGGATGGTAACAAGAAATCCCCAGTCTAAGAGGTCAGTTACCCGTTCTACGGCTACTCCTGCCCACATGGGGTACCGGTAACAGGCCTGTCTTGCTATCACACGAGATTACTATGTGACTCTGTACGACACCAGCTACGGACAGCGGATACGCCATACAGAACCCACATCCTTATTAGGACATGTGCCATCACAGCCCCCAATCCAGGTAGACGGCAACCAACCGCACAACACGCCGCCGCATACATATCAGCACACATACATACACACACGCACATGTCTTTATCGATATGCGATTTCCGGAGGCCGTACTCACCAGAAGAGCTCTGTGCCCGACAGGACTTGCATCGCGGCCAATAACGGTCATACAAAATTGTTGGCTACGCGCCCCCCGTGATACCGTATACGAGGTGCACACCATTTATGCGAGAGCGTACCAGCTTTTTTCACCATTCTCAATAAGAAATAAGCGGAATAAACATGAAGCGCTACAGCAGCAACAGGAATGATAAGAGGAAAGGTAAACTGCGCCGCCTCCCTCAGCGGATCCCGATCGAAAAAGGGACGCCCATCGCTGAAGTCGCATTCAAATTGCCGGAGAACTTCATTATTCCCTTGCAAGGCGCACACAGCACTCACCTCAATATATCTTAACAGCTCATCATAGCCAAAATTTTAGTTTGTTTTCCGCGATGATGAAACCATATGCCATCCAAGTGATGCATACACGCCATAACGAACAGCAATACAAAGGTACAAAGCAACAAGCACAACACTCCATTCCTATTTCATCCGTTCCCATGGCGGGCAAAAAAACGGCTTGACAATCGAAACTTCGCAGCAAACAAGAACGAACCTTGACACCTCCTGAGTTGGACTCCGCCGCCGCCGCCGCCCTTGCGCCGTTCTCGCAACGCCTTTTGCCCGGACCAACATCACCTCCACCTCATCCCCACACTCCAGAAGAGCACACACCACAAGACTGCAGCACCAGAAGGCAGTGCGTCCCTCAGTACGTGAGGTTCGCCGCGACCGCCGCTGCCGCCGCTATCTTACCGCAGCACCCAACCCGACCGCAGCTTCTCCTCCACTCCCCAACCCGGACGGTTCCAACACAACAGCGACACAAGGCAGAGCGCAGCATCCCCTTAGCACCTTAGGCGCCTCCACAACCCGAAAGAAAAAGCCCCCTCCTGGAACAGCCCTCCTCCTCCTCCTCCTCAGGTCCCATCCACCAACACGACCTCAACCAATCAACAATCCGAAGCCCCCTCATCACGAATACTCTCCTCCCCCCCCTTTTTTCTCTCCACCGCCCGCCACAAGCCGCCCTCCCTCCCTGCTACCTGGCGTCCGTCCTACCTGGACATCAACATCAGCAACAGTACAACACACAGGACATGCAGGCGCCCATACCAGTACATCTTAGTCCCTCCGTCACCACCACCACGACACGGGGCCGGCATTGGGGCCCATTGGACGCCCTGGGGGCCCTGCGTAAGGGGCTTGTTTCGCCCGCTGTCCCCGACTTCCTTCCCCAATCCCACTCCACACTCCACATTCCACACATCCAGACCATCCAGACCATGTCGGCATCAAGAGGGCGCAAGACGGAGACTGGACACCGTGCTAAAACTCGGACGGATGCTTTCCAGCCGAACGAAGTGAACTGACATAGCCGAATCATAAACCGACTAAACTCTTGTGCTCAGTAGTGGTTGCCGACCTTGCGGTGGTGTACGGCAGTGTTCGCGTTCTCGTCCAAGACCTTGCCGTCCAGAACCTGGCAACAAGGAGCGAGCGGAAGGTGTGTGGTACGCGTGTAGGTGTTAGCTGTACGGTAGTGCAGTACATCGCAGTACAGATGAAGCGACGATGATGTGTATATGCGTGCAGGAGGGGAGCCCTAAGGTTCATCGCCGTTCATCAACGTCCATTACGTCATCCGCCCACCTCAAAAAGTAGACCTAAGCACATGAGGGGCTCACGAGGCTCACTCTGACGACACGCAGGACCCTCACCTGCGCATACACGACGTAGTGATCCCCCGCCTCCATGCGAGTCACCACCGCACACTCCAAGAAGCTGTTAGCGCTGCTGAGCACCGGGACGCCCAACTGGGGGGAGGGGGTTGTCTCGAGACCTGTACGGCAACGCAACAACGCAAAACCAGCAGCACAACAGCGGTCATAAGGAAGACAGGAAAGACGCACGGGGGACGGAGGAAGGGAGAGCAGTAGCCGGGTGAGTGCAAGGGAGCCAGACACAGGGAAACACATGGCTCAAAGCGAGCACACAGAAGCTGACACGTGTGCGTGTGTGTATACACACGCATGGAAAGCTGCTCGGCCGACCTGTCGTTTCCACCTCCCCCATGCTGCCACCCGGGGAGATTGCCGTACTGCTTCACGTCGCAATCCCGCCGTACGAAGGAACCTTCTAACCAACCCGCGTCACCTTTCTCTGCTAAACCCACGAAAACCCGAGGGCCCCCCCCCTTGCTCTTCCCACCACACATCCACCTCTCCCCCTCCAAGTCCTCTCGCTAACTACCTCTTCCCCGCCACACACAAACCCACCCACCTGCCAGTCGGTCCTCCCCCGGGCTGAAGGGCCGCGTGAGGGCCTTCATGATGGGCTTCTCCCGCCCCTCGGCCACCGTGCTCACACAGAACTTGCCGCCCACCACCAACAGCTTCTCAATGGCGCGGTCCTTCTTGACGGCCACAGTCACGCCAGGAGGGTCGAAGCTGGCCTGGGGTGGGAAGTGTGCGTGCGTGCATGTGTGTGTGTGTGTGCGTATATATGGGGGCCCGGGGGAAAGGGGAAGTTCACATGAGGCTGTGCGCGGGCAGTTAAAACATACCTGCGAAAAAACACATGCGAGTGCATGCATGCGGGATGTTTGCAAAGGCAGCCTTGGGAGCTATGGAGAAGAAGGGGGATGGGAGGATGGTGGGTGGGTGGGTGAATAGGAATGAGGGACCAGATTCCTAGGAAACGCTTCAACGCAAAGCACCACAAGCTTAGAGGCCCCCTCGCAAGGCCTGCCCTCTGTTGTTCACCTCCCCAGCCAACTAACTGTACGGAAGGAGCCCCTCTCAACGCCCCTTTTACACCTCTACCAGTCACTGACCTGCGATATCCAGCTGGCCAACATGGCGCTGCTGGCGTCCTCGTCTTTGGCGGTCAGCACAGAGAGCGAGCCAACCACGCGGCCCATGGCCAGTTGCGGACCGCTGGCGTTGAGCGCGCGGGCACCTGATCAGGCAACACCGCCAACAACAGGAAATACACAGGCAAACACACACACACAAGTAAAATTCAATTTCCCAGGAAACAGTAATATAGTTTACCATAAGTGATATAATTGTGTAATCTATTGTGTGCCGGATTTGGTTCATACGAGGACATGGCCCTAAGCTCCAAAATGTACAAACGCCGACAACACCCTAGGAGAGGACCACATCCGCCGCCATTTGCCGGGAAAGCCATACCGAACAGCTGTTTTTAATTACTGCTCTAAAAACACTACATCCTCTAATAAATCGCTGTTTAAAACAGTTGGTCAGAAAGGCGGATGAAATGGCGGTGACTGCCAAGGGTCAGGGGGGTAGGGGATGACCAGAGGCCCCTTACCAAACTGCGCCCGCACGTTACCACCCCCACTACTCCTTCACACAACACTCAACGCAATCCCCCTACCTCCCAACGCCCACCCCAACCCCCCAATCCTACCCACCGGGAACTGCCGCCAGCTCCCGGACTTTGAGCTTCTTCTTAATGGACTGGGCCAGCGCCCGACCGCTTTCCTCACACAGCAGCAGATCCTGCGGTTGTTGGGGTTGTTGGGGTTGTTGGGGTTTATTTTACATAAAGGGAGTGAGGGTACGGAGGGATGGGAGGCGGGGGCGCCTAAGGGGGGAAGGTAAGGGAGAGAAACACCGCCAAGACGAAGATTGTGTAGAAGGACACGAAGGTGAATTGAAATGATCATGATGATGATTTTTAATGTTGAAAATGATGGAGGGCGGGAGGAGTGCGGAAAAGCCGGAAGCAGATTCTTCTACGCAAAAGCCAACCAATCGAACACGGAACAGGTGCACAAGGCTGTGGAGAGGGGTAATGGTGAGCAGGCAGGCACAGGCTTGATGAAAGAGGCCGCAGAAATGACCTTCACCGTCCCCAACCCCTTACCACCCTCAATCCCATTCCTCCTCCCAAGCCATGCTACGTTCTTTCCCAACCCCCATCCCCCACCCAAATTTTTTTCCGCAAGCAGCCACCTCACCTTCGCCGTCGGCTTGAACTTCACGCGGATGGAGTCGAACGCGAACCCGAAGCCCGAGTCCCTCAGCCTGCCCTCCATCTCATCCACCGCCTCGCCGCTCCAGCCGAAGCTGCCAAACACACCGCACGGCATGGTCTTGGCAGTGGGCTCCCGCAGTATGGCCCCCATGGCCACTGACACCTGGGTGGGCATGTGGCCGCCCAGGGTGGGGCTGCCTGAGGGGGGGTTGGCGGGGGGAGACCGGGGGGTTAAGGCGAACCACTGACGAATGAAGCAGCTACCAGGGGGAAAGGGGGGGGAGACGAACCACGAGCGAGTGAAGCTGCTGGGAAAGGGGGGAGTAGGGACGACGCGGGTGGAGGGGGGCCATGGGGGAACGTTGTAAGCACGACAGCAGCAAGGGGACCGGGACAGGGAGGGGATGGAGGGGCAGGGGGGAAGGGAAAGGGTCGATTGGGTTGCCTGACGGGGTTCTCGAAAGTTCGAGAGCGGTGAAACGGTGCTAATACATGGTTGTGACAGTGTTGATCACACACAGACACCCCCACCCCCTTGATCTCCACTCGACCCTCGCATTCTTACAGCAAATACTACTACCACCACCACCACCGCCACCACTTCAGGATTTTCCTGTACAAGAACTCTGTGTAATAAATTGCTTGGACAAATTAATCTAGAAGGAATCCCGCCTGCACCAGAAGAATTTTGCGGTAGTTTGCATGTTTACTAGCAATTCTAGTCGATCAGAAAATGCTTGAACTTCAGGATTATCATTATTGATGGCTGATGAAACTACCACATAAGACCGCCAGCTATAGCCACCACCACAAAACCCACCCCCTTGACGCTACCAATTTCCGGCCCCGCCGAGGCGCCCACTTCCAGCTCCCCAGCCTCCTTTCCTCCTCCCAGACGGGGGCCCCCCCGCTTAGGCCATCCAGCCGCCCCAAGCGCCAGCCAGTGGTTCCTCGTACACCCCGAGCGCCTCACCCCACTCACCCAGCACAAAGCCCTGCGACCTGCCAATGGCCTCCGTCACCTCCCCAAGGGATGCCAGCTCCAGGTTGATGGTCTCCACCGCCACACCGCCCCTGGTGATGCCACGGCTGATGGCCTGAGCGCGAGAAAGGAACGGTGGGGGTGGGGGTGGGGGTGGGGGTGGGAAAGTAACGAGTAACGAGGGGTAATGGGGTTATTCGGAGTATTGGGAGGCTGGAGGGGGAAGGAGGAATCACATACAAGCAACAACAACCAACAGGTCAACCACACACCCTCCGACGGAAACCTCCTCTTAAAATATCCAACCGACGAACCACCACACCAGCCAACCACGTATTCAACGTATTCATCCCTACAAAAACGATTTAACGTTGCATGCCTCCGTACATACCTGAGCCAGCGCCGCCGTATTGCCGTACGCCGACGCGTAAAACACCGCCGCGCAGCTGGTGGCGGCTGCCTTGATTTGCTCGTCCACCCAGCCGCGATACTCCTGTAGCAGCTGAGTTAGCGCCGACGACACACCTGGTCCGTGCATCGGCAGTAGCATACACACAGGCAGCGACGCCGATGATGACGGCGGCGAGGCTGGAGTCGAAACCGCCGCCGGCGCCTCCGCGGCTGCCGCCACCGTTGCCGTACCGCCATTGCGCTTCTCTAAGCCCAGGAGGCTCCGAAAGAAGCTGCACGTCAGTCCACGCGATTGGTTGCCAATTGGTGCTTTTAAATCAGGCAGCTTGTGAATGTAATATTTCACTTGATCAATTACAATGATAATAAGCTAACAGACCGTCTCTTTTTTGTTTCGTGCCATTACAGTGGAAGTAGTACGGGAGCGGGACGGTATACGGGTAGAAATATGGGGAGGTAGCGGGCATTGTCACGTCATCTGATACACTCAGCCTCTGCGGCGGCTGTGGGCAACCCATGGGGACGTATGAAGGTGTGTATGTACGTATGTATGTATGTACGTACGTATGTATGTATGTATGTATGTATGTGGGTGGGTGGGTGGGGGTTCCTAATGGGGGGTGATGAGGGGGGCTGCGGGGGTGTCTGGGAGGGGCAGGTTGTGGAGGCGGAGGCTATCGGGAAGGGGGGGAGGGAGGGGGTCGCTGACTGAGTAGGCGGTGTGCTCCACACATACAGAAAGTAAAACCTCCTCCCCACATCCTCCACCCGCCCTCACCCCTCCCCCCCCCCCATTCCCCCAAAGCAACCCCCAACGCTGCTTGTACCACCCAACCCCGCACCCACCACCTCCTACCCCCCCCGCACAACCCCCCTCCCGAACTCCAAGCCCCCTCCACTCCACCCCTCTCCGTTGCCTCCACCACCCCCTCACCTCCTCAACGCGGCACTGGTCTTGTTGACCCTCCTGGGCGCTAACCCGGGTCGGCGGCGGGCGGGAACCAAATCCAACTTCTCCAGGGCTGCAGCGGCCTGCAAGGGGGGGAGAAGTGTGAGTGGTGTGTGTGTGTGTGTGTGTGCGTGTGCGTGTCTGAGAGGGTGTGTGTAAGAGAGTATGTGGAGGAGAATTATATGGGAGACGTCTAAGCAGCCGCCGACGGGGGACGGAGGCTGACGTGGAGGGAGGTGTGAGAGTACGGGAGCAGCTGCTACTGGGGGCAAGAGCAGCCGGGGACAGCAACACCAATGGGACGGGGGGATATGGGGGAGTTGAGGGGGAGGGCGACGGGGGCGCTCGGGTACACGGGCCAAGGAAGGAAGACAGGAGCAATCTGGAAGTAGTACGCGTGCAGAGCGCACACATGCGACCTGCAGTAAGCGAGTAGACAGGTGTTCAGCCGTAGACAGGAGCCGAGGACACCCCCCCGCGGTCGGCCCACCGTCAGCTCACCAACCCCAACCCCACTCCCCCACCAGCCCAATGCCCACCAGACCTGCCTAGCCGAGGGAGCCAGCATGCACTCGAAGTAGTAGCGCCAGTCGTCACCGAAGGCCTCCCAACCGCCCTCGTCCAGGCCCTCATCCTGAAGACAGTTGGCGGTTGGCGGTTAACAGCTAACGGTTTGGGGCAAGATAGACGAAACCAAATGAAAATGCAGTGGAGGGTGGGAAGGGATTGAGCGACGGTAAATTGGCCAGATGTGGGATGTGTGTGTCAATGATGATGAGAACACAGCGGGCGGTTGCGGAGGTGTGTGTGGAGATGGGAGAACGCCAATCAAACCCGTTCTGAGAAGTCACCGTGTCTGGAAAAAATTTTATATACAGAGAGATAGAAGTACATGGATATATATAGATACCCTGCGATAATTGGCCGCGTGTCGCTCACCTCCGGCGGGGCCACGTGCGCAGCAAACAGTTTGGACGAGAAGAGCAGGCGGTTGACCGGGTCGTGTACGACGAGAAGATCCGGCCATCGAGGAGTTGGCGTCAGGACGACCTGTCACAGGCGATAATAGTGACAGTTGACAGTTGGCGGGTCACGTGACTAGAGGTTACGGTACGGAAGTTGAGTCCCCAACCCCATCCGCGCACTACCTACCATGCAACATCCCACCGCCACTGCGATGCGTCGGAGGGGGGAGGTATGTAGTTTGGGGCTAACCACCCCCTCCCCTTCCCCCTCACTATCACCTTAGCTCTCTCACCCTCCCCAAACATACATACGTACGTACATACACACCTGCAGTTTGTCTTCCTGCGCAGGCCCGCACGGCGCCACCATCGCCCCCGACCTGGCCACTACCAGCTGGACAGTGCTCAGCAGAGGGGCCTTATCAGCCTTCTCACCTAATGGGGGGAGGGGCATCATACGCCAAGTCGAAGATAATAATTGTCCCCCGGGTGGGTGGCCGGTGGTTGTGGAGGAGCGTGAAGAGGGCAGGGTGTGGGGCAGGAAGTACATAGGCAGGTGGCTGGCAGAAGTTAAGGCCTGACTTCTGCTCCCGGAGGTTCCGGGTTCAAATCGCCTGCCGACCCCTCGATGTGTGAGGGGTGTTGAATTGGGAGGTGGCCCCCGATCTTGTGGACGGTGTAGGACGCGATTATAGCAATTGCGAGCTGACCAGGAACTAAGTTGTGGTGCCGTTGATCCGCTAGATTTGGTTGGATGCAGGTGGTGAGTTGCTGAACCCAACGAGTACATTCTGAAGTCGGATGGGGTGATTGGATTAGGGTGCCCCTCTCGCAGGGGAGAGCAGGGCGTTGCCTTGGGAAAGGGGGCCGCTGGTGAAGCTATACCACCCTGTAACATCATACATACATACATACATGCCTGCGAAAGATCAGGTGCCGATGTGTTCACGAGATACAGCGCTCGGGCCCCCGGGGGGCACTGCTAAGGGCCCCAACTCGACCCCCGGGGGAATACCCGGGAGCATCAACTAGGCCGCCATCCGCTGAATTAACCAGACCAGGGGGGTAAGGGGTGCGGCTGGCAACCGAATCATCCACTACGCCCATCACCGCTAATCCATCCACATACACACACACTCGCCAGCCCTCCACTCACCCAGGCTCGTCTGCACCAGCCGCAACGCAGGATTAGAAAGCACCACCTGCAGGGGCCGTACCGCTGCCGCCGCCACCGCTGCAGCGTCGCCGCCGCCACTCGCGACCGCCGCCACCAGTTCCTCCGCCGCCGCCTTTCGTGCCGCCAGCAGCGCCTCCAGGGAGGGTATGGCCTTTGTGTCCAGCTGGGTTAGGATGAGGTGCGTCAGGGAGGTGAGCGGTACTGCAGACTCCACAGCAGCCACTGTCGTACAGTACAAGACGGCAAAGCGCGGTACAGGGGGAAGGAGTGGGTTGAAAGGGACAAGTTGGGACGTGCCAAGAAAGGAGAGAGATCCAAGGAAATGGAAGGCAATCCGGGGCCCATTACACGAAGGGTACAAAGAAGAAGACGAAGGAAGATCCCGACAGCTGGCTGGCTGGCTGGCTGGCTGGCTGTATGTATATATGTATGTGTTGGCAGTTATCGAATAAGGCACACGAGGACTAGCGAGACCACTCTATCCCTGTACGCCTCTACATGTGATGTCCGTGTGACCGTCGCCATACTGGACGGGACAATAATACCCACCAAATTTCCCGCTGTACGCCTCGTACGGCACATCTATCAGCACCGTGGCTTCCGAAGACTGCCGTCGCCGTCGCCATTGCCACAGTAGCATCATCATCATCATCATCATCATCATCATCATGCGCCAGCCGCCACACCGCCGCCACACACGCAACACAAACCAACCGCGAGGCAGTTTCCACACACATCCGCGGATGAGGAGATGCGAGTCGGGAAAGGAAGGGTGGAAGGTGAGGGGGAAAGGCCCGAGGGGGGAAAAGGGTGTTCTTTTAGAGGGCAGCGGTGCATGTGATGGAGGTGTGGATATACACAACTCTCTTTCCTCGTAACGTATTTAAAGCTAACTGCGCGTTGCACTGCTGCCGCTGCTGGACTCCAACCCAAGCAAGACGCCCCAAACAAACAAACAAACGAACACCCGCGTGGAAGTCTGTCGCCACAACCTCTGGATGCGCCGAGCACGGTACTCCTGCCCGTACTGCTCTCTCCAACTCTGAAACTCCGTCCCACCCATTACGTAATCGCCACCTTGCTCCCTTTCCATATCCTTCTCCGCGACCCACCGTGACCAGGTACGAATTGTCTGTTGTACCGCGCTTGAGTCCGTACTCCACCTCGTACTTAAGGCGCTCGCTGCGGCACGTCCCCCGCAGCATCTTGACGTTGGGGGCGACAGGTATCAGACCGTACTCCACATCGACAGGCTCCAACGGGGGCTGTGTGGTAGGTGGGGGAGGTGATGTGGGGAAAGGGATAATCAGGAGATCCACACATCGCATGTACAGTAACGTCATTCCTTCAAGGTGCAAAATGCATTTGGCAATGCAGTACAGTACCGCCATGCCGACCTCGGAAGCAGCTATGTGGTCTATGTGGCCGAAGCAGGGGAGGGGAAGAGAATTCAGAATGGAGACGTGTGGATTAACTTGGATGTTTGAAGTCCAGCAATCATGCAGCCCCGGAGTCGTGCATACGGGGTCTTAGGGTCCGAGTGAAGCCGCGTGTGAAGCCCTGTGTGTGTGCTGGTACCCACGCGCGCGGGAAGGGGGCTAAAGTTCGCATTTGAAATGGAGGCACGGGGGGTTTAGGGAGTTGATGGGGGCAACGAGGTGTGTGTGTGAGAGGAGCAAAAGGGCCGGAGCCGCAGCTGCAGCAGGGCCAGCACTTTGGCAGGTCCTGATTGGGATAATCGGATTGGAGCGGGTGTCCCTGAGGTCCCCATTCTGAACCGGGCTGGGAGGGCATCGTAAAGCCTCCTACCGGCGTAGGCGCGGGACCCAGCTGGCTGGTGACCAACGGTGCAGCGGTAGCTTGCGCCAACAGATTTACTCTGCGTTGATGCTGAGGAAGCAACGCTGGCGTTGGTGCTCCGGTGGCTGCACGCTGGGCGAACGAAGGCGCGAATGGACTCGCTCGGATAAGTCTGGGCGCTTTGGCCCTGACGGTTCGTCGCACATCTTGCCGCAGATGTTCACGATGAGTTACGTTCATCCTTTTAAGATTGAGAAGCGCAGAAGGGAAAAATACTCGCTAGAAAACAACAAAAAGATGCGCAGCTTTCGTGCTATTCCTCGCTTAACACGAGAATCTTAAAAGACTACAAGATCTATCAGCATCTAAGCTAAAACATAGGAGCTTCACAGTCGGAAATCGTCAGCTGGTTCGTCCCGTACAGCGGCCTTAATCCTCAAATCCAGAATTCTATGCAACTCCCCCATGTACTGCCGCGCATAATGCGTGGAAATATACAAGTTTGAGGATGCGCATAATCCTCAAACAAACCACTCTCAAATGTACCACGGGTCCCGAAAAGATGTCGTGGGCCAAGCCATTGTCAATGGATTTTTTATGTGTGAAACTGGGACTGTCGGTATCTGATACTACTGAGACAGATGCATACGAGAGAAAACGAGTGTGAACATCAGTTCGACGGGCTTTTCGGAGACAAGGCCCTGAGGCCCAGGTTATGGGTGTTGAACACCAGTGTTGGAACAGCCGGAACTACAGTACAGCTGTACAGACGAATGGCAGCCAAGGCACGCGAGCTAGTTGTACGCAGCACCTTTCATTCTCTTTTCATCACATTCCCCGGGCACTGAACGTAAACTCAATTATAATAATTATCATAATAATTCGCATTGTAATGATTAACACATACATCTAGCCGAATCCACCTCCAAACTGTGTAACGCCCAACTCCACTGAGAGACCCCTGGCCGTCACCGGCCAAAATATCTCCCTTACAGCCCCGACATGAGAGAGCTAGGATAGCGTTGGTGCAACCCAGCTTGTCTTTGGTTCCTTTTACTTTCTGCGCTTGCAACTGAAAACGGCAGGCTTGAAATATCCGCGCGCATGCTGTGACACTACTGTCTTATTGTCAATATTAATGGTCGCGGCAATTGAGCGCGGATGACTACTACGTTGCTTATGTGACATTTTAATAGAATGAGCGTGTGGTGTGTCTAAGGATCAGCTCACTGCGTTGGAGCAGGCAGCCAGCAGGAACCAAGGACCCGCCTTGCTGGGGCATGTGTAGTGCAGGGCCATGCCCTCAACAAGCCAGCAGCACGCCTCACACGCACATAAACAACAGCATAATAATGATCGCCATGGCAGGTAGGTGCCGCCATCACTTAAATGTCGCCTGTGCGTGTTCTATAAGCATACAGTCAAGAGGACATGAGAGCTCCTCCAGCAGCCAGTGCCGGAAATGAATGACCCAGAATCTCGCATGCAGTTTGCCTCGGTTTTCACTACTTACATATGTACGATAAACAAAGGGTGTATGCACGGCCGTGGAGGGAATTCTATTCAATTCCCGTTCGAGGTTTTTGAAGTGCAAAGTATCCCTGCAAGTCCTCTCCGTCGCCGTCGCGGTGCAGCGGCCGCTTTGTCTAAAACTTAAAAATCTCACATGCAGACTACACGACGAATACGTCCATCGTGTAGGATGTATGACCTGTCTAGAACCTCTGGCATAATACCATCAACCGCTTTCTCTCGCACCCCTCCACCTGCTGGACGTGAGATGCACCACCGTGGCCACCGTGCACCACCGCCTTAACGAGCGGCTCAAATAATACAATGCTGTCGTCGGCAGCTCAACCGGGATACAGAACCCAAGGGCACGCACTGTCTGTCTCAACCCCTGAGTCCCGTGACCTCCAGATCACCGCGACAGCCTGTTCCTAAAGGGTAGACTGGACAAGCAAGCCCTCCGCCCATCCCTCCTTCCACCCCCTAACCACCTTCCACCGTCCCTAACCGACACCGTCCCTTTCCCCCTTCCCTTCGAACGGACAGCAAAGCCGTCGGCCCCTCCAGGTACCTGTCCCTAAGTCCCCTAAGCTACTTGCACG